TAAGAGATAAAATAGGATCTAATGATTGATCAAATGTGCATATGTGTTTGGGCAGAAATAAGACGTGGGATTGGCTAATAAGCCGGGCTGGTTTCTGGCTTTCTCCAATGGCTAACTGGATGGCTGAGAGTATCACCAACCGGGGCAAAGGTTATAAAAGAATGAGCACTATCTGATTCAGCTGCATGTAACATAACCTAAAATACTGTAGTTTTAAACAGAAGAGAAGTTTATTTTCTTTTGTGTAAAAGAGGCTCAAGAAGTTGGTCCAGGTCATACATCATGCTTGTGTCTCTAGATCCTTCTATCTGCTATTCTTAGCATATTATTTTCTCCTCAGAGTCCATTGTGGATGCTCTAACTTTTGACCATCACATTTGAATTCCAGGAATTAAAAAAAAAGCGATGAAGAATAGTACACCCTGTCACTTTAAGGATATTTTTGTGCTGGCTAGTAGTCCCATGGCCTCACAGTTTGCAAAGAAAGCTGGAAAATGTAGTTTTTATTCTGGAATTGTCACATGCCCAGGTAAAGAAGTGTCTCAAGCACCCTGGTGTTAGAAAGTGAGAGATAAGAAAGATCCAGGAGAGGAGACTGAGAAGGGGAGCCAGAGAAGTAAGAGAAAAGCCAGGGAAGTATTATGTCATGGAATACAAGTGTGCTAATGACAAGTCACAGGAGATGCAGACTTAGGATGGACACATATTTAGCAATATGGAGGTTACTGGTGGCCTTGCTGAGAATTTTGGTGTAGTAGTAGGTTGGGATGAAGGTTCCATTGGAGGAGATAAATTAGAGGAGAGAGGTTAAGAAAATTAAAATGTTTTTTTTAAAGATTTTATTTATTTATTCATGAAAGACACAGAGAGAGGCAGAGACATAGGCAGAGGGAGAAGCAGGCTCCATGCAGGGAGCCAGATGTGGGATTCGATCCCAGGACTCTGGGATCACGCCCTGAGCCAAAGGCAGACATTCAACCACGGAGCCACCCAAGAGTCCCACAACCTGTTTTTTTTTTATTATTATTATTATTTTATTTTATTTACTTATGATAGAGAGAGAGAGAGAGAGAGAGAGAGAGAGAGAGAGAGAGAGGCAGAGACATAGGCAGAGGGAGAAGCAGGCTCCATGCACCGGGAGCCCGATGTGGGACTCGATCCCGGGTCTCCAGGATCGCGCCCTGGGCCAAAGGCAGGCGCCAAACCGCTGCGCCACCCAGGGATCCCTAATTTATGTTTTTTTAAGGAAAGAAAATACTGGGACTGTGACTGTAGGAGGAAGTAAGGTAAAGGGAATTTTATGTTTTAGGAAGAAAGAAATAACAGTATATGTATGTGTTGATGAGAGGAATCAAGCTGAGAAGTAAAATTGATGCCAGTAGAGAGAGGAAAGACTTTTTGGAAAAATGTAATCTAGGACTTAGGTGGAGGGGTGGCCTTTTCTGGGTGGCCTTTTCACCTGTAGTGCCAGGAGTGGTGGAGGACAGGTTGATTAGAGTTTGTGTACTGGGAGCTTGTGGAAGTTCTCTTGGGATTACTTCTATTTTCTGAATAAATAGGTAGCAAAGTCATTCACTGAGAGCAAAAAAGGAGGGGTAGATTTGAAGTGGGAGTAGAAGAAAGATATGAATTAGTGTGTTGGAGAGTGAAAGTATGAATATACTAGGAACAGTTGATAACTTGGTAGCATTGACTTCCCACGTGAAGTTTGTGACCATAAATTTAAGGTGGGTAAGAGTCAGAACAGGTGGCTGTGACTTTTCTCTTGTTACTTTCAGCTGCTTTTGGGCGGAAAGTTAGATTTTACCAGGTTTGAAGTTTAACCATGGAAGGGATGATGATGTGGGAAAGAGGCGAGGGATTTGAGAGTTGTAATGATAGAGTTTAAGATAAATTATTTTTTTTTAAAAAAGATTTTATTTATCTATTCATGAGAGATACAGAGAGAGGCAGAGACACAGGCAGAGGGAGAAGCAGGCTCCACGCAGGGAGTCAACGTGGGACTCGATCCCAGATCTCCAGGATCAGGCCCTGGGCTGAAGGCGGCACTAAACCGCGGAGCCACCCGAGCTGCCCAAGTTTAAGATAAATTAAAAGGGAATAGCAGTCATCTAGGAGGAGGGGTGAGGGCACGTGAAAACATTGTAGGATCAGTGGCTTGACAGTCAGGTGGGATAAGACTGCCTAAAGTTTGGAATTTAGTGAGAGCAAGCTGGAAAGATAGAAGTCAGTGGTTAGAGAATGGTGTGTGAAAATCAAGATTACGAAGGTGGAGCAGCTGTTGTAATAAGATCTGAGCCATGACCATGGGAGGAAGTGGCTGGTGTAGTATAGAGGCCAAGATCATTGAAAGGGAGGAGGTCAAGGAATGATGTTTTGGGTATTGAAGGATCATCTATGTGAACTCTCTGTAGTCTCATTGGGTCAAGTTGTTCATATGCAGAGATGACTTAGGTCAGAAATCCAGCTCCTCCTCCACTGCTCAGCTCTATACTCCAGTTTTGTTATCTGAAAAATGGAGATACTCAAAGTTTCTACATCCTAGGGCCGTTGTGAGGACTAAATGTATTAATGCACGTAAAATACTGACAACAGTACTGGAAATACAGTGAGTGCACAATAAGATTTTATTTTTATTTGTATATTTATGACTAACTGATCTATAACTCTAGCTCAGACTTTTCTTCATACAGGCTCATATATGTTCCTTTATAACAAAAACCCTTGAAAACTTTTCTGAAAATCCCTTTTCTACTCTTTCTCATATCTCTTTTTCTCTTCCCCTCTCTAAAGTAAATACCCTGCCCTAACTGCTTTTGTTTTGCTTTTTTGTGTTTTCTTTTTATAAAAGATTTTATTTGTAATTAATCTCCACATCCAACATAGGGCTTAAACCCATAATCCTGAGATCAAGAGTCGCATGCTCCACCTTCTAAGCCAGTCAGGCATCCCTCAAATGCTTTTAAATCAATGATCTTGTCTTGCCAAATCTGGTTCATTCTCAGTCTTCATCAATATTTGACATGGCTCTGATCAAGTCTTGGTTCCTAAATCCTTTTCTTTCTTTTTTTCAAAGATTTTATTTATTTATTAATGAGAGACATAGAGAGAGAGGCAGAGACATAGGCAGAGAGAAGAGCAGGCTCCATGCAGGGAGCCCAATGTGGGACTCGATCTTGGGACTCTGGGATCATGCCCTGGGCCAAAGGGAGGCACTCAACTGCTGGGCCACCCAGGCGTCCAGGTTCCTAAATCCTTATAAAGATTTGGTTTCAGGAGCCTTGGTGGCTCAGTGATTGAGTGCCTGCCTTCATGCCCAGGGCATGATCACAGAGTCCCAGGATCGAGTCCCACATTGGGCTCCCTGCATGGAGCCTGCTCCTCTCTCTGCCTATGTCTCTGCCTCTCTCTCTGTGTCTCTCATTAATAAATAAATTAAATATATATATATATATATATATATAAAAGATTTGGTTTCCAGGACATCTCATTCTCCTGGGCTTTCATCCTACCCATTCTTAATCTTCTTTGCTGGATCTTCCTCCTCTTTCTGACCTCTAATATTGCACAGTTTGGGCTAAGTTTTCTTTTCTTTTCTTTTTTTAAAGATTTTATTTATTTATTTATTCGAGAGAGAGAGAGAGAGAGAGAGAGAGAGAGAGAGAGACACAGGCAGAGGGAGAAGCAGGCTCCAAGCAGTGAGCCTGATGTGGGACTGGATCCCGGGAATCCAGGATCAGGCCCTGGGCTGAAGGCGGCGCTAAACCACTGAGCCACCCAGGCTACCCTAAGTTTTCTTTTCCATCCATACTTGCGCCCAACATGATCTGACTAGTCCCACAGTTTCAAATAACATCTATCTGTATGCTAGTGCATCCAAACTAGATCTCTGTGATCTTATTCTCCTGTAGCCAACTCCTGCTGAGCAACTCAATTTGGAGGTACAGTAGGCATATCATATTCAACTGTCCAAAACAGTTGATCGTCACTCCAGTCAAACTCGTTTCCCCAATCTAGCTGATGGAATCACCATTCACTAGTTTGCTCAGGCCTTGGTGTCGTCCCTTCATTTGTCTTTTTTTCACCCTGTGCAATCATTTAGCAAGCCTTGTTGACTCTAACTTCAGAATCTATCTGGAATCTGGGCACTTCTCCTCACCTTTACTGCTTTCTCTTTCTTTTTTTCTTTAAAGATTTTATTTATTTATTCATGAGAGACACAGAGAGGCAGAGACAGGTAGAGGGAGAAGCAGGATCTCTGCGGAGAGCCGGATGGGGGACTGAATCCCAGGACCCCGGGATCACATCCTGAGTGGAAGGCAGCCGCTCAACCACTGAGCCACCCAGGGGTCCTGACCTTTACTGCTTTCATGTGAGTCTGACTCACTATTGTGCTACATCACGTGTGGGTTTTCCTTCTTACCCCTATACCATCTCCGTTGGAATCCAGGAAGCTTTCTAAAAAATGTAAATGTTTATCATTATAAATAATCTAAAGCGCAAACGTCACCATGGCACTCCCTGGCTGTAAAAGCCCTTCCTGAGGGTAGTGTTTTTTTGTCTTTCCTGCTGGGCAACAAACTGTGAGCTGAATATTATTATATTATCATATATATGTATAATTATTCTATGAGCAGAACATTTTGTATTGATATTAATAGCTGGCATTTCTTGAATCACAATGCATAGATTTAGTGAAATATTACGGCGTCATTACAAATGGTCTATTTGATGTAGTAACATGGGATTGATCCTGACCAAATAAGGGAGGGGGTGGATAGCAGATCCTACCGTTACTTTTACACGATTATGACTGAATAGACTGCTATGTATATATATATATATATATAGACACACACACATGGTTATAGCCTGGAAGTGGATGAGAAAAAATGCAAACAATTGCTACAATCATGAAGTTATAAGTGGTTATTTTTTTTAAACATTTCGTTCAATCATGTTATTAAAAACAAAACAAAACAAAACAAAACAAAGCACCAAACCTTTTTTTTTTTTTTTTTCAAGGACCTGGCCTGCACTCCAGTCTGCAGCCCAGTCCCTCCGCACGTCCCCTCCCGCAACCAACCGGACAAGTTAGCATTGGGTCCTCCGGGCCACCGTCCACAGGCCGGGCCCACCCAACGCGAGCTGGAGCAGCGAAGAGCCACTCCCTCGGCTCCCTGCGCTCCCCCGCCCCACTTCCTCCCTCCAGGCCCCGCCCCGTGCCGGTGCGCATGCGCACGGGCGAACACGTGGCTGCCGCGGAGCCAGGGCAGCAATGGCGGCGGGTGGCGGCGGAGTTGCCGACCCCCTGTCCCCGGCAGGGGTCCCCTGCGCCTTCTCCCCGCTGAACCAGGCCTACTTCGCCTTGGCGTCTGCCGACGGTCAGTTGCGAGTGTGGGAGACCGCCAACAATAGGCTGCACCAGGAGTACGTGCCTTCCGCGCACCTCAGCGGTACCTGCACCTGCCTGGCCTGGGCGCCCGCGCGGCTGCAGGCCAAGGTAAAGCGGGCGGGCCGGCGGGGGGTGGGCGTCCGCCCGGGCTCGGCCCCTCAGCACCCCCGGCCCGACGGCGCGTGGCCCGGCGTCTCGCGCGGCCCTCCGAGGCCCGGGGCGAGGAGGCACGGAGCGCGGCGGCGGCGGCGGCGGCGGCGCGGACTCGGCCACTTCGCGAGTCCCGCGTGCGGCCTGCCCGCAGAGTAGCGAAAGAGGGCGCGGCCCGGCGCGAGGGACTGTAGACTGGAGCCCCGCCGACGGGCTCCTTGCGCTCGGAGCCCCGCGCCCCGCTGTCGCCGGGGCCGCCATGTTCGCGTAGGCCCCCGGTGCCCCAGGGCGGCTTCCTTCTGCCAGTCCTCGCGCAGCAACATGTGCTCTTCGGTGTCCTGGATTTTGACAGAGCCCCTCCTTGGGACTGTACTACTCTTCTCCGATTTCTCTAGCTCACCAACTTTGCCTAAGGCGATTGGAATGAGTGAAGCCTGTTTCCTTGCTTCCGGACAACCCCCCCACCCCCCCCACCCCACCCCAGAACCCTTGGGTGCAGGCTCACCACGTGTTGTCTTCCACGTCCAGTGTGTAGGACTCTCACTCTTGAAACTCTTGATTTCTCGGTCTCGTTTCCAGGCTCAGTCATTTGAAACTTCATGCTTTTTCATTTTTAACATCTGCTCAGCTCCCCCTTTATGCACCCCCTCGTTAAGTCTGAAGTCCGCTTTTGGATGTGGGGGTAAAGCGAAGTAGCTGGTTTAATGTAATGAATGTGAATCCAGGTGAAGTTTCTCTTAGATGGGACGTTGCCAAGTTAGGGAAGGCTTCTCTCTTAGGGCCCCATCTCAGGTAAGATGCCATTCGCTGTTGAGTCACTCGACCACGTCTGCTCTAACTCACATGCACGTGGGACTGCAGGTATAGGGTAGTCACACCGAATCAGTCTAATGTGATGCGGAAGCATCAGGTATTGTGAGTGTTTAGCTGACACCGTGTGTAAAACTTCAGAGGCTAGTATTTAAGACAGATTTTTAACTCCCATCTGACTACCGTAGGGGAACTGCTAAATTTTTAGGTTGAAAGTAGGGGTACACCTAACTATGCTTTGGATGAGTATGTTTAGGTATTTTTCAGATTTTTTTTTTTAAATTTTTTTTTTTAACTTTTATTTATTTATGATAGTCACAGAGAGAGAGAGAGAGGCAGAGACACAGGCAGAGGGAGAAGCAGGCTCTATGCACCGGGAGCCCGACGTGGGATTCGATCCCGGGTCTCCAGGATCGCGCCCTGGGCCAAAGGCAGGCGCCAAACCGCTGCGCCACCCAGGGATCCCTATTTTTCAGATCTTAAAATAGATTTTCCTAGTTTCTAGATGAAGTGACTTTAGTTGATAAATAAACCATTTCAGGGTTCTTAAGGCAAACTTGGACTTAAAAAAAATAGTCGTCATTGTTAGTTGCAGCAGTCTGCATATTTTTCCTTTTTAAAGTTGTTTTCTATATTTCTGTTTTAACAGTCCTGTAAAGTGATACTGATGATACTGATGATACTGATACTGATGCTGAGGGAAAACCTGGAGCAATGATTAGATACATGGATCCAAGCTCTACCACTTACATTTAAATCTAGGTTTGGCTTCATAGTAGTAATTGTGCCTCTAGTTCCTCATTTGTAAAATGGGAGTAACAGAACCCACCTCATAGAGTGGTTGTGAAGGTGAACTTGTTTGATAATGCGGAAACATTTAGATTGGTGTATGTAAGTGCTACAAGGTTTTTTATTTTTTATTTTTTAAATTAATGTATTTGTATGGTTAGTCCTGGAAGGTAGATAAAGACTAACTTTTTGCCTTGCTTCTGAAGAAGAAGCTGAGCCTCTGGAAAATTAAGCAACTTGCAAAAAAAACCCCAAAAATAGAACCAGGACTAGAACCCAGATATTTAGAGCTTCGTTCTCCATTATCTACAACAAATAATAGTTAATATTAGGCTGGCAAAAATTTGTTGCCCTGTCCCCCTTTGCCTTTCTGTTGACTTATGTCACATTATATGGCTCAAGAACAAAACTTTGGCCTCGTCTTAAGTTTCTTTTTGAAAGTCATAGTTTTGGATTATGTATAGCACTCTGAAATAGTAGAAAAATATCTGGATTTGGTTTCATATCCAGAACTCAACTCACACTTGCTTTTGTCACATTGAGCAAGTCACTCATTGAAGGGCCTCATTGAAAAAGGAGTTTGACTTAAAAAAAAAAAAAAAGTTTGTATAAGTTTCAGTATCATTTTATCTGGATGCTTTCATTTTAGCCACACAATCTAAGAAATACCCTGAAATAAAATTTTTAAAAACTGAGAATCAGAACTAGGGAAGTTCCAAGTGACTTCATCAAAGCTTTAATAACCAATAAAGACACTGTGACCACCAGGGTTAAGGTCCCCTGACTTCTGGTCTACTGTTCTTAACACTGTAACTCTAGATCTTGAGTCATAAAATTGAGAGTTGGGGGGAATGTAGGAAGAACATCCAGTCTTCATCATATTGGGGATGTGTCCTAGAGCATCAATTTTACTTGAAGATTAGAGAAGTGGTTCTCTTAAGTGTACACAGATGTTATGGCATAAAATTATAAAGTCACATGACTTTTCTAAAGCTGGAAAGTGAGTGATTTGTAGCAGCTGCTTCATCTCTGTTCCCAGGTCCCTGGTTTATGATCCTTGCCACTGAAATGTTAAGATGCTCTCATTTTATTAAACCCTTTTATTTTACATCTTTGAGGATTAGAGTTTCAGGCTTGGAAAGGATTTTATCCTGCATTCCCAACACCTTAAGATTTTTGTTACTCAAACATGAAGTGGAGGGATGTCTGGGTGGCTCAGTGGTTAAGTATCTGCTTTTGGCTCAGGATGTGATCTTGGAGTTCCGGGTGTGAGTCTCACCTCGGGCTCCTGTGAGGGGTCTGCTTCTCCCTCTACCTATGTCTCTGCCTTCTCTCTGTGTCTCTCATGAATAAATAAATAAAATATTTAAAAACAAACAAACATGAAGTGGAGGTTATGCCACCCACCTTTCAGGCTTCTCAGATAATTAAATGAGGCAGTGTATATAATTGATGTAGTAAGTGCTCAGTAAATATTAGTTGTTATTGAATGATTCATTGACCATTCCCTGTGGGCTCATTTTATAATTTACTGCTACAATCCTCAGTGTAAATCATTTTGTAAGAGTATCCTATATCTAGTTCAGTAAGTGGCAAGTTGCCACCCAAGGACAAAGTTTGATGATATCACTCCTGTGAGTGGAGAAAAATGAGTTGGTACTGAGTTGCTTAGGTAACAAGAGTTAAAGCAGTGGTTCTTAAATGTTTAGAAGAATCAAATTGCTCTTTCTTGTTCTTGGCCAAGAATGATTATATATGCCATAATAGTGTTTAGAGGGTTTTTGTACATATCATATAGATGAGCATATCATTTGGTTGATGGAACCTGGGAAGAGAGGACCTCTAATGATGATAAGAAAAGTGCAAGGAAACAGATTGATGGACTGTAGAGATGGATGCTGTTTTTAAAGCTCTTCAGGTATGTGTGTGTAAACTGAGGCTGAGATGTTAACTGATATGCCAAAGCCACACAGTAAGTGCCTGAGCCACCTGTCACTGACCCTGCTATTTCATCACCCCCTGAAATCTCTCAAACTTTTCTACTTTTCCTTTCCTAGATGGGCTATAGCCCTGACGAAACAGACCTTGTCTACTATCAGCTACCACAGTAAATGTATTTATGCTGCTTTGCTGTCACTGCAGTTAAAATGATCTCACACAGCTTAGTAGTGCTTGTTGAATGAAGTACATGGCATTTCAGACATGAGACAGGGCAAGCACAGTAGCATTAAGAATGTTTCTAGGAGGAATCTGAGTTGAGTATCCCTATTCCCAGCCCTAGGAGATATAGTACAGTCCAGTTGTGTTTGTGAATATATGATGCTTTATCTTAGGGTCTTTCTAGTATTTAAACCTCAAGACAAGGGAAAATTTGCAGATGAGATCCTGTTGGCAGGAATAGAAGTTCCTGGTTATCAGAATTTGTTTTCAATATAAATACTGTGTAATTACATGTAAAATGCACACATTTTGTTCACAGTTATCCATGAAACTTAAACATTTGTCAGAGAAGTGACAGTAAGGTAGGCCAAGAAAAGGGGTAGGAGACTAATTGCAGAATGGAACTTGAAACTTGGGCATAATTTTCAGTGTCTAGAGGTCAGGATTTTTCAAAAATAGGTTTTGATCCATTAGTAGATTATGAAACAGATTTAGTGGGTTGTGATAGAGTTAAAAAAATGGTGTATTTAGCATGGGAAAGAGTTTTTTGTGGAGCTTGTTTCAATTATATATACATATGTTTTTATGAGTGTGTGTATTGGCTCTCCATGTAAACTCTTCTTACTCTGGGAACTCAGTCTAAAAACTCATTGCTTAATTGATCAGACTCAGATTTATCACTTGGATTTTTTTTTTTCCTCCTGTCTTCACCACATCTGCCCTATGTCTTGCTTTTGTAAATCATGCACTTAGCCCCTTGAGATTCTCACTCAGCCTTCTTACTGCCTTCTGGATCACGTGCTGATAAACTTTTTCAGACTGGTGCTACTCTTTATTGCGTAACCTAGTCAGACTCTTCACACTGAAAAAGACTCTAAGAAATCACATTTCTGGGCGCCTGGGTGGCTCAATTGGTTAAGTGTCTGTCTTGGGCTCGGGTCATAATCCCTGGGCCCTGGGATCAAGCCCCAAGTCTGGCTCCCTGCTCAGTGGGGGAGCCTGCTTCTCTCTTTTCCCCTCTCCCCTACTCATTCACTCTTTCTCCCTCTCTCAAATAAATAAAATCTTTTAAAAAAGAGAGAAATCACAACTTTTGGGTCTTCACTCCTGGTACCTCTAGGAACTCCAGATTTTCCAGTCACAAATGTAAACTAAAGTTTTAGCTTACCCTTTTCATTACTTTATGTATTTACATGTGTAATGAGTGTGTACATGACATTGTGCTAGGTACTTCAGAGGAAGTAAAATTGCATGTGACTGAGACACATTAAGGAAGAAATAGACAATTCAGATATACTGTGTCTGTAGTGAGAAGCACAGTATGATGTATACCTTAAGAGAAAGAAGTTTTTGTGGAGGGATGAGAGTTAGGGTGGACCTTGAGGCATGGATACTAGATCTTTAACCAAAAGAAAATTGAAGTGAGCAGGAAAAGGTCCCTCCAAGTTGAGGGAAAAGCAGAAGCAAAATGGGAAAGTATTTGTGATTAGGGAGTGTAATATAAAGATGGAATTGGAAAGAAGATTGGAAAAGGTGGTCTGGAGGCAAATTGCAGATGCTTTTGAATACCAGACAGTTGCTTGTATTGATTCATTCTTCTCTGGGGAGTCACTGAACTTTTTGATCATAGGAGCAACAAGTTCAGAAAGAAAATGCCAGCAAAGGTCTGTCATAATCTATAATCGTCAGCACTATATTCTTGGTAATATTTAAAATAGTAGATTTATTAAAATTCACATTGCTAGGCAGCCCCAGTGGCGCAGCGGTTTAGCGCCGCCTTGCAGCCCAGGGTGTGATCCTGGAGACCTGGGATCAAGTCCTATGTCGGGCTCCTTGCTTCTCCCTCTGCCTGTGTCTCTGCCTCTCTCTCTCTCTATATGTCTCTCATGAATAAATACATAAAATCTTTTAAAAAAAATGCACATTGTTTTTATAAACTTACCTGGTTGACCTGTTCAGACATGCTCCTCCTGCTAACTGGAAAGTGATTTTTAAAAAGATCGTCCAACTCTGAGAAAATATGTATGAGTCAGTAGTTCTTTGAGATGCATTGTGTGCTTAGACCAGTGATCCTCAAAATTGGGCATAGGTTCTGTGGATGCTCTTCCAGTTGCCTCTGCTTGCTTCTCCCAAAATACACAGATTTTGTTGATAGGGAAATTAGTATTTGAATATGTTAATGTTTAATATCTAAAATTTCTTGGTGCTTTTTATTTATTTTTTTTGTCTTGTTAAAAAAATCTCTACACCCAGCATGAGGCTTGAACTCACAACCTAAGATCAAGTTCTGTGCTCTTCCAACTGAGGAAGTTGGAAGACACCGCTTTATGTGCTTTTTAATGCAAATTCATATCTGTAGAAAAACATACACGTATTTGGACCAGCCTGTGTTTCACACATTAGAAACCTCAGCGTGAGATCATTTTTAACTTGATTTGGGAAAACCAAGAGTTGGAGAAGTAATTTCTAGAATCTGATGAGGTATAGTAGGAGATTGGTATGCTTTCCCCCACTGCTCTTGCCTGAAATAGTTGTTTGTATTCGTAACCTTGTGCAGAAACCTCATCTGCCTTGTCGGATCATTCAGAGGTAGATTTAAACATTCATTGAACTGAATGAAGGTGGGACCTAGGACATTGCTTGTGCTAAAGTTTCAATGTTTCAAGTAAATTAAATGTTGCTGATAAGACCATCAGATAGTTTTATACTTGGCTTTTAATTGTAACTTTTCTTTGGGGTTTATTATTAATGTAGATACATTTCTTTGGACTTGCAAAATGTGTATTTTATATATGTGTAAAAAGTTACTATTGTTAAATCTTTTTACTTTTGTTGACCTAAGTGTGTCTAGTGAATACAATTCTTCAAATGCAACATCCCTATAACTAAGAGAAAAAAAAAAGGAGAGTACTTTAAAATCTACTCTTGATATTTTTTATACACCTGAAACATCGTAGTTTTCATTGGCGATTTTTGGGTTGGGCAAATTTTTATGTATCCTGGCTGGGCTGCTGCTTTTTGTACTATAGAACAAAGATCTTGCCCTATTGAGAAAATGTTCTTTTTCCTGAGGTAGTGGTCTGTTTTATGTTAAAAGAATGGATTTCTTAGAGCTTTATGCTAAAGCACAGGCTGGCAAGCTTTAATTTAAAAAACATCATACGTAAGAGAAGTTCTGAAATTACAAATTTTCAGCGTTGTAAACTCTGATGTAATACTCTGAAGTTGTGATCTTGATTATCTTTGGACAGACAGGAGTTGTTAGTATTATTTTTGAAGTAAATCAAAAGTAGTTTTGTGGCATTTGACACTAGGTTGGAACTTGTGCCTCGTAAGTCATTGGGATCACCAAGACCATGAGGAACACTCAGACTCACCACCCTTAATTCTCACATGATAGAGCAACTTTAGTGTACTCTACTAGTTACAACTATTTTTTGACTGAAACTGAAGTAAATGTATGTTTATAAAAACATTTGAGTAGCCTTTCCTGAGAATGAAGCTAGAACACAAAGATGAGGAGGGAACACAAAAAGGAAGTGTTGATTGCTCTGGTATGGATCTGTCATCTCTGCTTGAGAGTGGAGGCTTCACTTGGAACTGTCACGAGTGGTTCATTTCTGAGAAGTAGAAGCATCAGGGAGACTGCTTGGACCTTTTAAGAGAATACCAAGAGCATGTCTTATTTGTCCCATTCCTTCCAGAGAGGTAGGAGACAGGGACAAAGAATTTTAAGCTCTTCTTCCCATTGGAGTGTGTCGTCCCCCCCCCCCCCCAAAGTGAGAAAGCATTTCAGAGTTGTCCATTCCCCCTCCATGGTAAGTGTCTTTTGGTAGTGGTCATTTCATTTGTGGGTTAGTGGGCATTTACATTTATGTGTTAATGATGTCTTGTGTTTGAAATACAAAATGAACCATTTGTTTTTTTTCCCCCTAGGAAAGTCCCCAGAGGAAAAAAAGGAAATCAGAAGCTATAGGAACGAGTAACCAGATTGACTTGTTGGCCCTTGGTACAGCAGTTGGTAGTATTTTATTATACAGTACAGTGAAAGGAGAATTACACAGTAAATTGATAGTAAGTATAGATGTGTGTGTGTGTGGATGTGTATCATATATAAAAGAAATGATGAAGAAACTGATTATTAGAGATTTATTAAAAACAACAGAATAATGTTACAGGATTTACACCATGGGGCATTTTTCTGCCCCCACCTTTAAAATTGTGGTAATGTTTGTTAATAGCTATAATAGGTAACATAATCTTTATTATAGGCTAGAATATGAAGAACTGTTGACGAGCTTTGTTTGTTTATTTATTTATTTATTTGACAAGGTTTAAAATAAAGGGTAAAAGGAATTCTAGGTACCACAAATTGTGACTGCAGGAAAGCGCTTACCACCTTTTGGACTGGGTGACAAAGGAGACAGTTGGGATCACTGCTGAAATGCCGACCTTTGAGGAGCAGGTGTTGCTCTCTTTGCTGCTGTCTCTTGTGGAGGAGTGACCCCGTGGGTTTGGGGTCCAGACCTCTGAGGACAGAGCGCTAGCTGACTGCGGGTGTCTCTGAAGAGAGGGGAGACTAGTTCCTCAGATATTAGAACAATTGCATATTGGGTTCAGCTGCTACTGAAAGGATTTCTCTGCTAGGGTGAAGAAACACCTGGCTGATGCACACTAGTAGACAGGATAGAACAAGTTCCTTGTTCCTCTTTCAGCCTTATCTCCCTCTAGCACGCCTTATTGGTGGAGCCTCCTGGCCACCTAGCTGGCGAAGCAGAAATGTGGTCTGGAGTTCCAGCCTCAGCATCACAGAACAAAGTGAGAGTTTGGCACTACAGGGCAGTGATTTAACTTAGCATAATTTGTTTCAGACGTTATCTATTACATTATGTTTTTGGTGTTTCCTGAGCTTCTGTCTTTATATAGGAATGCTTTATGTATGTATGAATCAAAGTGTTTTCTATTTTAAGTAACATTCTCCATAGATCATTTGGACCTACATAATGTTGAAAAGGGAAAAAAAAATTGTTCTATCACTGAGAGATGTTTAATAGATTGTGGTTTCTTTATGCATGTGTTTAAGCAATATAATTCTCATCTATTTCATTTCCTGGTATTTCCCATTAAATTACAACATGAGCAGTTTTCATATATGCCAAGGACTAGTTTCAATGACTGCCTAAAATCCTACTAAATTAGATAATCCCTTGGTGACTTAATAATTACTGAGAATTAAAGTGTCTTCCAGTTTTTTGTTGTTAAATATTTTGTTTGCTGTTTACATGGATTCCCAGAATTACTAATCTGTAATTAATGAGTCAAAATGTTAAGGCTTTTTATGCATAGTATACTAACTTGGAAAATCTTATTTTCTTACTAAATTTTTTCTACGGAATTTACCTGTTTATATCCTTTATTCAGTTCTTTTGTGTCAGTGATATAGGACTTAGTTCCTTGAGTCGATAGCTCATTCTTGGGAAAGGACATAGCTGAACTTGATATTTAGAAGTATTTTTCTTTTGAGGTTGGAGCAATCTGTGTAATAGAAGTAGTGATTTTGAGTTTTATTCTTAGCTTACATAAGTACATGATGGTGATTCATGTATTCATTTCATTGTAATGTGAATTTAAGTAGAAAAGTGAAAATCATAATTGCTCACAGTTTAGATGATGTAACACCTTATTCTACTGAATGAGTTTGTCCTGGAATGTGTGTGAGGTTGGTGGGAGAGTTGAACTTGCCCTTCCCCTGTTGATGTCTCCATTCCTGTTTGCTGCTGAGTGAGTGATCATCTAGCTGTGTTGAATGTTTAAAGTATCGTTGGTATGGTATCTTCCATAACATGAGGAAATATTTAATGTTTACCTGAAGAAACTGATTTCTTTATTGAGAGATGGTTTTGGTAGTTTTTTTAAAAAGGAATTTTCAAGGATAGTTTTGGCTAGACATGCCTTTTATCTTAAATACGGACTTTAAAATCTGAGATTTGACTCTATTAGTTCACTCAATTGTCACAAACTGCCACTGTACACAAAGTATTTTATCTTGTCTTAGTAGTGATGGCATTCCTGTCAAGCAAGTGGCATTTAGAACTAGAATCCTTTGACTTATGATGTGGACGTATATTTTTCCAGAAAAAAAGGGAAAGTTGACACTTGATGTATTTATAGGTGATTTATCTCTTTTTTGATTTTGGAAATGGGTAGATGTAGGTTAGGGTGTTTTTAGTTACATTAAAGCCTATCTTTTTTATTGGCTGTTATTAATTATTCCAGGATGTGTAATTATATCAGGTGTTTTTTTTTTCTTTTAATCTCTCTCTCTTTTTTTTTTTTAATCTGTAGAATGGTGGACATGACAATAAGGTCAACTGCATACAGTGGCATCAAGATAATGGTTGTTTGTATAGTTGTTCAGATGATAAATATATTGTGGAATGGAATACACAGACATGCAAAGTAAAGTGGTGAGTAATATTGATGGTTCCATGGTATTGGAGGGGTAACTTGGTTATTGTTGAAAATGCATTAGAGTTGACCAATCAAAGACTGTTCTTGGCTGTAGGTCGAGTTTGATTTTGGACACACAGAAAGTAGATAAATACTAATGAGGTTATAGGCTGTCAAAGAACTTTTTAATCAGGCTTGTAAGATTTTAATACATTAATGTTAAATGATATGAGAGTAAAATAATTGCACAAGACATACCATAAGACATATCCATGAGTTGGATAGTGTTGGCAAGGCCTGGTGGTAGAGAAGGGATTTGATTTGGCCTTTAGGAGAGGTAAGATCTGAAATGAAGAGGGTAGAAGAATCCTTTGGGGGGCAGGGGAGGAAGGTGGGTGGGGAGATGGCAAGACCAAGGCTAGGAGAAAGGGACGTGAAAGATTTAGAGGATTTACATACTAGGGAATAATGGCTAGTAGAGGATATGGGCCAAAGTATCTTAAGAGTCTGGCCTTACCTGTCATACATAAAAATCTCAGACAACTTTTCTAGTTCAAGCACCTAATCCTATGATAGGCTTTATAATAGATGTTTAGTAAATGTTGAATTAGTTCAGCTTAGGCAGATGAGGACCCTAGGAACGATAATGAAGCCTGTGGTCTTCTAGCTAGTAAGCGGCAGGAAAGAAGTTCTTATCTGCTGTCTTGGATTCTGGTCCAGTGTTTTCCTGCTGTTTTAAAGTTGTTTTCTTGGAGTTCTAGATTCTATGTCATAAGCAGGAGAGAGTGCCACTGAACGTCATGTTTTTTTTTATTTTATTTTATTTTATTTCTTTATACATGAGAGACATAGAGGGAGAGAGGCAGAGACACAGGCAGAGGGAGAAGCAGGCTCCATGCAGGGAGCCTGATGTGGGACTCCCATCTGGGCACTCCAGGATCACAACCTGAGCCAAAGGCAGACACTCAACCTCTGAACCACCCAGGCATCCCTGAACTTTATGTCTTAAGAATAAAGTCACCAAGATGATACTTTAGGAAAAGGTGATCTGCCAGCATTGTGTAGAATAAATGGAAAAGATCTGGTTCAAAGGCAAAGGAGCCAGATTCCAAGTGGTTGTAGTAGTTCAAGAGTGGTCTGGTTAAGTGAGAGGTGAAAATGGAAAAGATACCAACTAAGAACATTTGGGTAACATGGAAGGGGGTATTAAGTAACAGAAAGAAGTTAAATGTAACTCTTAACTTTTCAGCTTTGTGAATTTACCAGGAGAGTAGTGGTTCAGTTCGTGGAAATTACAGCCAGAAGAGCAAAATGGTTTTGAGTTTTCAGACAAGTTGAATTTGAAATAATACATGAAAGTCAAGCAGGTGGGGTGGTGATAAAGGCTTAGAATTTGAAGGAGGGCTTGGGGCAGGAGGTGCAGATGAACAAGTCATCTGCCTGGAGGTTCCATAAATATTGTACCTCCATTTATCTGTGGCAGTATTTTCCCCACTGATGACTGTCAGAAATACCTGTGGAGATTCTCCACTAGGTCTGGGGTGGGGCCCCTGCAACTGTATGTGCTTCACATAAGGGCTTCTAATGTTCAGGGCTCTTGTTCACATTCTACAGTGTTGGGTTTAATCCCAGAAATAGGTTGGATCTGAGCCTGAACTCTCATCCCCACTATGTCCCATACGATACCGTGTTTCTACCTTCATTATTGGCATTCTTAGGCTACTGTTAATAGATTCCGTGTTCCATTTTAGTTATTATGTGTTTACTTCCTACTATGGAAGATGAGAATTTAGCCCTTGGCCTCTAGCCTCTCCTCTTTTCATTCTCTCAGTATTGTTACATCACAGTTTTTTGATGAAGGGCTGTTCACTGTTTGCATTAAATATTATTACAGATAAGCCTTGTACTCTACCAGGTTTATATTATTTTTTGGCATGAAACTGTGCTTTTCTTAGGTCATAGAGTTGCCTTACTGTTCGTTTGCTTAGTTTTGTATATACCTATTATTTGCTCATTTTCACTTTCACAGTAGGATGTTATTTGGGGGACACATCAGTTAATCAGTTATATTTATTTATTTTTATTTATTTATTTTAAAGATTTTATTCATGAGAGACACTGAGAGAGAAGTAGAGACATAGGCAGAGGGAGAAGCAGGCTCTGACTCCATCCTAGGACCCCTAGGATCACACCTTGAGTTGAAGGCAGACCCTCAACTGCTGAGCCACCCAGACATACCAGTTATACCAGTTATATTTATTTCTTGAAGGCTTCCCTCCAAGGTTCATCTATTTCTTGGAGGACTTCTCAGCTTTCTTCCAGGATCTGCTGATCAGTGATGTTCCTGGGATTTTCTTTCATTATTATCCTGAGAATTCTCTTTGTCAGATGGAACCTCTTTCTTGGATCCCATTTTCTCTTCGTTGGATTACTCTTCTCTTTTTTGTGAAATCCACTAATTGGTAGCTTCCTAAGACAAGTATGTGGACAGTAAATTTACTGAGATTTTGCGCATCTACCGACGGCTTTATTGTATCATCACAGTTGACTTAAGAGTGTGAAGAGAGAATTTTAGGTTGGAAATAACTCAGGATTTTGAAGCATTGGTTCATTGATTTATTTATGGTTCATTGGTTTTTAGTTTTCAGTATTAATTATCCTTATGTTCTAAAATATCCAGTGTGTTTTTATTTAGTTAGTGAATTACTCAAGGGACCATTTACCCCGGGAGTATTCATGTTCTTCATTTTTCCTTCAACGGTTTTTTTGACAATTTCATCCCTCTGTTGTCTTTGATCTTTCTCTAGTGTAACCTACCCTTACATAGATGTTATCTCCTGGACTAATCCCTTAAATTTATTCTTATTTTCCCTTTTGTCCTTTTCTTTTGTTACGGAGGAGATTTCCCCTATTTCATCTTCCAACCTTGGAGCCAATTTTTAAATTTCTCTACCCATACTTTTAACTTCTGGGAGCTTTGTTTTTGTTCTTTTAATATTTCTTTTGGTTGCTTCATGTTTCCTTCATGGATATAATATTTTCTAACTCTCTGAAGATAATAATTACAGGATTTAAAGTATTTTTCTTTTATTCCTTATATCATCTCTCTCTTAAAGATGTGTTGTGATTTTTGATTTTAGCTTCTTCTATGTTAAAGGCATTCTTCAAATGACTGAGGATCCTTGGCTGCCTGTTATTTGAAAATAAAATATTAAAAAGCCGATTGGAAGGCCTGTGTGGGTGGGTGGCTCAATTGTGGGCTTCATTTGTAGAGTGATGAGGAAGGCTTCAAATGTCAGATTGTGTGGGTTATTACTTTGCCCTCAGTCACATTTTCTACAGAGAAATCTTCTAGTGCTGTGATGTGCATGTGAATTACTTGCGCAGACAGCTGAGCTGATTCAGTAGGTCCAGGTGGGGTTTGGGAGTCAAATTCTAATAAGTTCTCAGGTGATACTGATGTGTAGGAGGTTACTTTGTGAGTTGCACAGCTCTTAATGGGGGGGGAGGGTTGGTGGTAGAAGGGGGGAGCTGTGGCAGTGGTAGTTCTGTGACTGTTTCAGTGCTGAGTGGGAAGGTAGATTCAAGGAAGCTTGTCAGATGGTGACCCTGTCTTTTTTAAAATATGTGTGTTAAGTGAATATGTGTGGAATAATGAATATAAAATGTTGAAGCTGTGGGAATTCCTGAGAAATTGTTGAAAGTGTTAGCTGAAAAGGATAAAGGAAGAGGTCTCCTATGTTACTGCTGTCTCTCCTTGATAACTAGTAAAGTTGAGTGTTTTCATGTTTATTGACAATTTGTATTTCTTGTATGAATTGCCTGTTTATTTCTTTCATGTGTTTTTATTTTGAGTTCTTTTTTTGGACTTGAGTTATTTTTTTTTAATATAAAGAGCTATTCATGTATTTTGAATATTAATCCTTTTCTCATAGTTTATATTTTTGATATTTTCTAGCCTTTTGCTTTTAAATATATGATTTGTAGTACAGAATTTTTATTTATTTAAATCAGATTATTTTTCCCATTATGATTTATGGTTTGTAACTGCTTTGGAACGTCTTTCCTAAGCCAGGATTGTAAAAACACTCTTCTATACATTTTTTAATACTTAATTTTCATCAGTTTTAGTTTAATCAGTTTTTTGTGTGTGTAGTGTAAGAGAGGAATCTACTTTTGTTTTTCCAAATGAGTAATTTGACATATTCCTTTTTTTTTATTTTTTTTTATTTTTTTTTTTTTTAATTCTTTTATTTATTTATGATAGTCACAGAGAGAGAGAGAGAGAGAGGCAGAGACATAGGCAGAGGGAGAAGCAGGCTCCATGCACCGGGAGCCCGATGTGGGACTCGATCCCGGGTCTCCAGGATCGCGCCCTGGGCCAAAGGCAGGCGCCAAACCGCTGCGCTACCCAGGGATCCCTAATTTGACATATTCCAATGTGACTGGCAGAGCAGTATTTTTTTTTTACTTATAACTAACCTTTTTTGGGAAGAAGATTGCTACTGTTGTTTCTTGATTTTATAAGTGAATAGCCAAGCTCCTTGTTGTGTATAAATATATTAATGTGTGTGACGACCTGCAAAGATTCATGTTGCTACTCATGTTTAAAATATTGGAAGGGGATCATCTAGACCTAATTTACTTTGCTTTGTCAGATTGGGGTATATCTATGTTGATTTGGGATAGAAATAACTTTTTTGGACTGTAGCTTGAGAAATAATTTGTGTTGCTAAGTAAACTAAAGGCCACCCTTCCACAGAGTGCAGGAACCATGGTGGGGATAGGATGGACTTGTGGTCCAGTCAGCCTGATAGAGTTTCTTGGACATTCACAAAATCTATAGATTATAGATCACAGGGGGCACAACTTCTCATTTTACATTTTTAAAACTCTTACTCTTACATTTTCTGGTACTTCTTGAGAATTTGTTTTATTGGCCAGGCTTTACCTTAGTGTACTTCTGTGGTTAGTCACTTGACACAGGTTTTTAGGGAATGCAATGTGGCATTGAACGTTAAGTAATATTTTAACGCCTGATTTGTTTTTTGTTATCTTTTTGCTCTGTTTTCTCCAAATTCATTGAGATGTTTTTATTTCTCTTCACAATACAGCAAATGGAAAGGCGACAATAGCAGTGTCAGCTCCCTGTGTATCAGCCCAGATGGAAAGATGTTGCTTTCAGCTGGCCGAACAATCAAACTGTGGGTTTTGGAGACCAAAGAAATCTACAGAGTGAGTGAATCAAATTAGTTGTAAGCCTCATAGTCATCTAGAGTAAGTGTGGAGAAGGGAAGAAAGTCTGAGCCATAGCATATTGTTTTAAGAATACAGATTTGTTGTTTTCATACATATCAAATAGTAGAATCTGTAGCAGTTACTTCCAAATCTGGTTTGTTGATATTAAATAGGTTAGACGTGTCAATTTCAAATGCATTTGAAAAATGAATAGAACAAATAAGTAGAGTTTGAATTAAAAATTTTTTATTCTGCTATAGAATGATAGTTTTATTTCTAGCTTACATCCAGCATTTAGTACGTTTGCAGAATTTACTATAGCGATATAATATTGCATTTTGAGTGTGTCAGGGGTGTACTTTTGGTGCTGTGATGATGCCTTAAAATTGTGGTTTCGACTCACTGAGAGTAAAATGAGGACCTACAATTCCTTGGCTGTGTCTGAGCACCCAGGCATCCCTTTAAACATGCATAGAATTAAGTGGATTTTTAATGCAAAAATGGAAGAAAGAGTAGGGTGGTGAGAGTTAGAAGGACATTGTGATTTTTCAGTATTTTCAGATGGAGTTTTTAAAAGTGAGAGGAATGTAGCACAAATAACCTCACTTACTTAGAATTCAGTTTAGCTGTTACCTTTATCCTGGAGTTCTGATTTCAGATATGGATCATATGTATTGCTTATGGTCCGTCCACGTGGACTCTTAATTTTTGTTGCTGCTCTGTGCCCTCTCCTAAATGAGATTTGACTTTCTCTAGCACTTCACAGGCCATGCAACGCCAGTTTCATCACTTACCTTCACTACTATCAGACCTCCTAATGAGAGCCAGCCGTTTGATGGAATCACAGGTCTTTATTTCTTGTCTGGAGCAGTACATGACCGGTTACTCAACGTCTGGTATGTAGTCTTTTGGATCTGGGAGGTAGCATTGCCTTGAAAGAATATGTCACAGCCTGTACGGTTCATATAAGTGATAAATGTGAGACTTATTTTATTGTACTTAATGTTAGATTTACTTGTAATGAAGAATAGAGCCTGCCTAAAAAAACAGGTATAAGAAAACCGTAAGAGCATTTAATAGAACCTCCTCCTTGCTTGTTTAGAGGTATAGTGGTCTAAATATTTTTGTGACTGGGCAAGTTATAAATAACCTTTTAAAAATTTGGGCTAATCTCTGATTTTGTTGAAATAGATAGGACTTCTAGGTTAGTGCAGTAATGTCTATTTATGGATGTTTCACTGAGGACATTTAATTCTTTGGCTTTGTCTGGAAATCTCCAGGTAGCTCCCCCACCCCCTTTTTTGCAATAGTTGCTGTTATTAACTTTCCTTGGAACTCTCCCCTTTTTTTTTCGTAATTTTTTTTTTTTAAGATTTTATTTTTAAGTTATCTCTACAACCAATGTGGGGCTTGAATTTACAACCCGGAGATCAAGAATTGATGTGCTCTACTGACTGAGCCAGCTAGGTGCCCCTGGAACTACTTTAAAAAGTAAAAGTTAATTTGGTATTAAATAGCCATTGGGCAATTTTTAATTTGAAGAAGATAAGAGTTTTCTTGGATTTTATGAGATCTGAGAGTGAACTTTTTTTTTTAAAAGCTGCTATTCATGGATAGAATAAGTGGAGATTTAAAAAAACTATTTTCTCATCCTAGTAATAAATTAGTTGAATGTGTTCTTCTATCATATCAAGTTATTATGAATTTATGCTACATAATATTCAGATACAAGTGGTCCTTATACAAGTGGGCCTTATCACATATGTAATCTTGACATAGTTGGGTGGAGATAGGTTCATAAGGCCTAATGTGGACTTCTTTTCACCTTCAAACTTTTGGCTGAGCCATAGTTCCTAATTATGTCCCTCATAATCACATTGTGTTGGTTTTCTCTCCTGTTTCTAGTTTTTGAGGCATGCCAGTTGGGATAATTCCTTTTAGTTTCATAAGATTTAAAACTTAAGAAATTAGTAATGCCAAAAAGTTAAAATCTGCCACCAAAACCTCCTGATCTTAGTCTTAAAAATGCTTCACCTCTTTGGCTCCCTAGACCTAAAGGTCTCTAGCACAAAATTTCTTCTATAAAAGAGAAGTTGATTTTTGTTTTAACATCCCTCAAATTGTTATGTGTAGGTCTGAGGACTTCCTGGTAACAGGAGTAAACTTGAAAAATTAAAAACTCACTTTAAAAGGCTGCCCCAGAGGGCCATTTATGGAAAATTTTGTGTTTTGTTTTTTTTTTAATTTATTCATGAGAGACACAGAGAGGCAGAGACATAGGCAGAGGGAGAAGTAGGCTCCCTGTGGGGAGGCTGATGTGGGACTCAATCCCAGGACCCAGGGATCACGCCCTGAGCCAAAGGCAGACACTCAAACCGTTGAGCCACCCAGACATCTCTTAAAAAAGTTTTTATTTAAATTCCAGTTAGTTAACATACAGTATAATATTAGTTTCTGGTGTACAATATTACAATATGCTGATTCAGTATTTCCACATAGCACCTGGTGCTCATTACAAGGGCACGCCTTTTTTTTTTTTTTAAGAGCAATGTGGTGGGGGCAGAGGGAGATGGAGAGAATTGCAGGCACAATGCCTAGCTCCACCCATGTCTCTGCAAATGGCAAGTTTTCATTTTTTTTTAATTGAATACACCATTTGTGTGTGTGTGTATGAATCACATCATCTTTATTCATCAATTGATGGACATGTGGGCTGTTTCCATAATTTGACTCTTGTAGATATTTGTTACTGCAGAAACATCAGGGTGCATGTATCCCTTTGAGTTAGTATTTTTGTATTCTTTGGGTAAATACCTAGTAATGTGATTGCTGGATCACTTTTTGAAGAACTTGCATGCTGTTTTCCAGTATGGCTGTACCAGTTTGCATTCCCAAGGAATGGATGGAAATTTATGTTTCTGTATTGGAAATATTCAGTGTCCCAGTACCATTTATTGAAAAGAGTATTTCCAGTGAACTGGGTTTGCACATATACATGGGTATACACATACAGTCAGTTCTGGTTATTTGCAGTAGTTATGTTATAATAAGTCCTCATGAGCACTGAGTTGGTGAGGTTGAACTATTATTTCTCTGGGAAATACAAGGCTAGGTTTCTGCAAGCCTCGTTGGTCACATCTTTGTCATTTAATCAATACATAACCTTGTCTTATGTGTTTCTATTTAATAATACTTTATTATACAGACACACAGTTGATTAATTCATACCATAACAGAGTTTACCTAGCACAAATATTTTTTTCCATAAGGAATATCAGCTTTTTTTCTCTTAGGTACATTCATAGGGGACATTTTAAAAGCAAAATCACCAACAAGGGGATCCCTGGGTGGCTCAGTAGTTTAGTGCCTGCCTTTGGCCCAAGGCGCCATCCTGGAGTCCCAGGATCGAGTCCCACATCGGGCTCCCGGCATGGAGCCTGCTTCTCCCTCCTCCTGTGTCTCTGCCTCTCTTTCTCTCCATGTCTATCATAAATAAATAAATCTTAAAAAAATCACCAACAAAAAGCATAAAAGCAAAAAACGTGGCACTAAAAAATCTTTTTAGTATTCTAAATAATACTAATAATACTAGTTTGTTGTATGAGAGCTGATGTAAGTCAGAGGATAGCCTTGTTTAACATTGTCGGCAACTCTTATTTTTCACTGCTATGAGCATACCCTGTTAAGACCATGGAAGTTCCACAAGTACTGATTTGGGGGTTTATAAATAAATTTTAGCAAGTAGGCAAATTCTTAAACAATGAATCAACAATTAATAAGGATCATTTGGGTGAATACACATATAGGTCTGTTTCCGGACTCTTTTCTTCTTCGTAGTGGTGTGATAAAATTCTCAGATTAATCTGTAGCTTCAGTGTGAACCCAGTCAAAATCTTAGAAGACACTTTTATAGAAATTGACAGTCTGATTTTAAAATTCAAATGAAAATACAGAGGACATAGAGGAGCAAAACAATGTTGAAAAAGCAGAAAAAGTTGGAGAGCTCACATTGCCTAATTTCCTGAGTTGTTAAGCTATAATAATCGATACAATGTGGTACTGGCATCAAGATAGGCAAATAATAGTGGAAAAGAATAGAGAATATTACTCATTGTTTAAATCTCCGTAAGTGCATTAGTGCTTTTTCTCTTCCTTTCATCATCCATGGTAAATGGCAGTGACACAGATGTGTCCCTGAGTGTGTGATCTGTAGAAACCTTTCAAGATACAAAAGCTGTGGGGAATCTAATGTTGTGATTCCCCATAGGCGCTCATGATTTTTTGTTTGTTTTTTAAATTTCTTTTTATCTAATCATTGGTTTTGTTATCTAGGCAGGTCCGGTCAGAAAACAGAGAAAAGAATGCAGTGATGTCTTTTACAGTTACAGATGAACCTGTGTATATTGATTTGACTTTGTCAGAAAATAAAGAAGAGGTAAATGGCCTGATTTTTGAGAATTTGTTTTTGGATTTTGCAAATTGTATTTTTAAAATTAGTGTATTGATGATTTAATGATTTGGGAAAGAAGGGGACACAAAGGAGGAAGAACAAAATACAACAAAAATCTTAGACTGTTCAAGTAAGCTTAGACTGTTCAAGGTAAATCACTGTGGTGAATGCTTATGGATGGGGGATGGGGACTGTGGGCAGAGGTGTTTTCAGCAATCCCTACTGCTCTTACATGCAAGGCCTACCTATTCCCTTTTGCCAGTCTCTGCACTTGGTAGTGGTGACTTCGCTCCTTTGACTTCCAGGCTGTATTCTCCTTGACTAATAACTTCTTCCCCTAAACTTTGATTTCTAAACTTTACAAAAACTCCAATTGTCATTTTGATGAGAGTAATGATTTTTAAATGCAGCAATTGTGTAACCTTGGTGTTCTAACTTCTCTGGTTATTTAAAGGGTTGGGTTTGGGGGAGAACAGCTTAAATTTGATAAGTGTATTAAAGCAATTATCCATTAGAGTAGACTGAAGTGTATTAACCCCTTAGAATAATCAGTAAATTTTTCTTTTAGCCTGTCAAGTTAGCTGTTGTTTGCAGAGATGGTCAAGTTCATCTTTTTGAACACATATTAAATGGGTAAGAAATTTCTCAAGTTTATTTTCTTTCCCTGATTTGTTATTCTTTTTTATTCCCACTTCAATATTCTTTGCATTATGATTACTTTTCAGTTAGATTATTTTGAAAGCATTATTGCTTATCCATATGACCAATTATTTTGAAAGCATTATTAATTATCCATATGACTACATACATTCTTAGTGAGAACTCAAAAGTTTTTAGAATCATGGACCATTTCTTCATATATGTGGTTAGTAAAGTAGTTTTATAATAATATGCTTAGTAAATGTTAGTAGTTCTGATAATCTATTTTAAAAGAAAGTGGTTCGGTTGGAAAACTTTGCTTGTGAACTTGGTAAAACCTTAATTTCTAACTTAGATAATACATATGTGGGTCAGTGAAACATGGCAATGCTAATGTTTTGGTGAGTAGAGGGGAGTGAGGCTGGTGGGATGTGTAGTAGTCATAGACCAAGGGTCAGTAAATTATGACCTGTGGGTCAAATCAGTATGATCATATGTGGTGCCCAAAACTAAAATATTATCTGTTCTTTATAGAAAGTTTGCCAACCTTTACCCATACTCTATAAACATGGTCTAAAACTCAGTCATGTAAACTTTAAAGTTATTTCAACTTTTTGTCAGTTGGTCTTTCCTTTTATAATCCTGGTGTAGGACTTTATTTAAATATAAAATAGTGTATGAAAGCATAAAACATTATTTAGGATATATAGACAATTGATTATTAAGCATAATTCTCCCTCCACTGAGTTCTATTCCCTAGAGGTAACTGTTCACATTTTTTGTGTAACACTTGAGGCCTTTATTTACAGTCATGCATGTACGTGGAATATATAATTGAGGGTCTAGGGGATCCTGGGTGGTGCAGCGGTTTGGCGCCTGCCTTTGGCCCAGGGCGCGATCCTGGAGACCCGAGATTGAGTCCCACGTCGGGCTCCCGGTGCATGGAGCCTGCTTCTCCCTCTGCCTATGTCTCTGCCTCTCTCTCTCTCTCTCTCTCTCTGTGTGACTATCATAAATAAATAAAAATTATAATTGAGGGCCTGGAAGTAGTGGGCAGCAGTGAGGACTTGGGCACTTCTCCTTAGGCAATACAGTAAGCCATTGGCTTTTATGCAGAAGATTGATGAGGTTTGACCTAAGTATTAAGACATTAAGCTTTAAGCCATTCTGTCTGATGTGTTGAGAATAGCCTACAGAGGGGTGAAAGGCCAAAGCAGAGACCAGAAGTCCTGGACAGATGATTGTGGAGTCCAGATAACTAGGAGGAGTGAGTTGGAAAGATAGGAGCAGTGTGGTATACTTGTGGGTGATAAGATGTCTGTGATGGGAGGAGTAAGTGACTGAGACACAGTAGAGGCCACGGTTGTTGGAGGTGGCAAGGGTATGGAACTGAGAGGACCATGTGTCAGATTATCAGGCTGTGTGGTGAATATGGAGACCACTAAGAAAGTGTTGGATGGATTGACAGTGGAGCCACTAAAATATTTAAGAAATAAAGGGGAGTGACCCAGAAATGAATGGATGACAGCAGGAGATGGAGGTAGCTGGTATCTGGTGACAACACTTTGCAAGGTTTTAGAGGTGAAAGAGGGAGAGACTACTTGTCTTGAAATGTTTGTGACAAACAGGAAGCACACTTAAATCCTGTCCAGGGCTGCTGACACAAAGGCTATGGAGGCAAAACAGGTACGACCTGGGAGATCTGTCCTCATGAGCCAGCATAGAGCAAGAAGGTGAAGAAAGTCCTGAGAGAAGAAATTGAGGATGGGATTCTTTTGATAAAATTTTGCTGAAATTTTGCTCCTGGAACTGTGTTGCAGAGATCCTAGTGAGGCTTTTGGGGGTTGGAAACAATTGGAGATGGAGCTGATTGGAGCAGATATAGTCAGTCATCTGGTGCTGAAGCTCAAGGCAGTGAGAGAGCACCTGGGAGCTTGGGCCCCTTGTGGAACTTGACAGTGGGATAGGAGGGCACATGGGTCTCCAGGCAAATTTTGATGGTGAAGTCTTGCTAGATGATAGATAAGGTCTTGACAGCAACACTAGTGCTGTTGGGGACCCTGGTCACGCGAGTTGTAGTGTGGAGGCCACAGGAGGGTTGCATTTTCTGACTCAATGCCAACTTCAAAGCATTCGTATGAGATGTTACCTCAAATTTTCTAATTAATTTTTTTTCACTTCTAGATACTGCAAAAAGCCTTTGACTTCAAACTGCACAATTCAGATAGCAACACCTGGGAAAGGCAAGAAATCAACACCAAAACCCATCCCTATTCTAGCAGCTGGTTTTTGCTCAGACAAAATGTCATTGTTGCTTGTATATGGGAATTGGTTTCAGCCCATCATTGAGCGAGTGGTACGTAGATGCTACTCTGGAGTAGAGCAATACAACATCAATATGGCCATGGAAGAAAATGATTTTGAAATGATTCCTTGGTCTGCTTATTGGAATACTTAAAGAAGTCACATATTTTCCCTTAACTGAAGGACCTTTCACTGGGTGGTTTATTTTAGTTCGTGAGAGCTATGGATATAATTTTACTTAACCCAGCATATCGAAAATATTTTAATCCTTAGTCAATATGAAAATTATTTGAGATAGTTTATTCTCTTTCCTCCTTTATTTAATATTATGTCTTTGATGTTTGGTGTATATTTTCACTTACAAACACATCTCAGTTTGGAATAGCCTCATTTCAAGTGTTAAGTACCTCCATGTCCCTAGTAGGTAATATTTTGGTCAACATAGGTATGAGTGAATTTTGCTCAATTCTCCCAAAGCTAAATCTTAATAAATGAGCCCTTGGTAATAGTACTCACTGAATTTTCTCAGTGGAAATTTAATGAGTGGTACAGTTACTTAACTTTTGATTATAGAAGTTTCTTTGGAGACTTTTGGTAAGTGATGAGCATGTCCAATAGGTGATTTCTTCAGCTTGCATTTGTACTATTTTTTTTTAAGATTTTATTTATTCATGAGAGACAAAGAGAGGGATTCCCTCTCTGTCTCTGCCCAGAGACCTAGGCAGAAGGAGAAGCAGGCTTCTCATGGGGAGCCTGATATGGGATTGGATCCCAGGACCCTGGGATCACACCCTGAGCTGAAGGCAGATGCTCAACCACTGAACCACCGAGGTGTCCCTATACTGCTTTTATTCAGTAAGGCCCCCTGGGAGATGATGAGTGGAATATTACATGCCCAAGCAAACTCCGGCTGAGTTTATTTTAAGCTTAAATTTAAGCTCTTGTTGAGTTTATTTAATTCTTTGCTTTTTAAAAACTTAACACATGGATATGGTTTAATGAAAGGAGAAAGGTGTTAAGCTGTAAACCTAAGTCTTCTTGCTGTATGTGGACCCCCTAACCCTTCTCTGCAGATAAAGCCATTGTTTCTGCTTGTTTGGGGTCTTTCTGGATACTAATTGGTTATATGGTTATAGAGGATTACATATAACCATAACACCTTATGGGTAACCTGTACTTTGCAGCATCTGATTATTCCCACCGTTTGAATGTGGACCCTAGAGCATTTTTGTTCATCAGCAGTGCTTTCTTTGACTTGGTTGTGGGAAATATAGCAGTAGGAAATTTTAGGATAGAAACATTCTTTTTTAGGATAGAAATATTCTTTTTTTAGCCTATACTATTCTTTATAGGGGTGACAAACTGGAATGTTTTCTTTAAAATCTGTTGCACTTAAAAACCTGTTGATCGGGCAGCCCGGGTGGCTCAGCGGTTTAGCACTGCCTTCAGCCCAGGGCGTGATCCTGAAGACCCGGGATCGAATCCCATGTCAAGCTCCCTGCATGGAGCCTGCTTCTCCCTCTGCCTGTGTCTCTGCCTCTCTCTCTCTCTCCTCTCTGTGTTTCTCATGGGGAAAAAAAACCCCAAAAAAAACACAAAACCTGTTGATCTGGGGTACCTGGGTGGCCCAGTGGTTGAGCATCTGCCTTTGGCCCAGGAGGTGATCCTGGGGTCCTAGGATTGAGTCCTAGGATCCCCTGCAGGGAGCCTGCTTCTCCCTCTGCCTATGTCTCTGCCTCTCTCTGTGTGTGTCTTTCATGAATAAATTAAAAAAAAAAAAAACAACAAAACCAGTTGATCTTTTAAAACTATACACATGAAAAATTCGAGCGGTTCCTAACTGAAGAAAGTACACATTATGCTTAATACTGACCCACTTTTCTCTGCTGCCGTCAATCTGAATGGTCATCAGTCTGAGTGGCTCAGTTTTGTGGGGAAGCTTTCTGTGCTTTTTTGTATTTTTATAAAAAATGCACAAGTAGGCATTTGCTTTTCATGTTTTATTCCCAATTCCTTTATTTGACACTCTTTTTTTTTTTTTTTTCTCCATCATACCCTCTCCTCTTTAAAATTATATTCCCAGGCTTTAAGTTCCAAAGAACCTCATATGTGTTTAATAAGAGATATTTCAAACTGCTGGGCCCCCAAAGTAGAACCGGCTATAACAAAGGTGAGTGCATTTTATATTAGAAATTGAGAAAAATGAGATTTAGGTGAATCGAATTGTTACGTAATACTGTTTAGACTCTTTGATACCATCTCTTTATGATTTTGTTTTAACAAGTTTGTGGGATTAGGTCTCAGATAACAAGATTATAAAACTCTTTTGCTCTTGATTTGTTAAGTGCATGAGTGAATAGATAACTAGAAGTTGAAACCTGGGAGTTAGCCTCTGCCCCCACGTATGATCATTAAATAAACATCACATTTATCAAATTATTTTACCAATGTCAATATTTAAAGGAGCATAACTTTGAGAAGAATCTTACATTTAAAGGTGAAATAAAGCCTAAAATGATGGGTCTGGAATTGAACACCGTATATACACTAATCATCATCATGCTTTATTTTGAATATAACATGGCGTCTATATGTAGATATCATATGTTTGGCAGTTTAATGAGAAAGGGAAAGCCAATACATGCTATGATGACATCCATATATGGTTTCGCTTCTGGCTGAGTTCCAGAGATGACACCTTTCTCTTGGCTGTCTGAGCATTTCTGGCAAAGCTCGATTACTGGAGATGGTTGCAAAACATACTCTAATGTTTTTAAGTAAACTGTAATCTATAAACATTGTTCCTGGTTTTTACTCTAATGTATTGAAAACTGTAAAACTGAACTTTCAGATTATAATTTAAAAACATATTTGCCAACATTCAGTTAAAATTTATCTTTAATTCATATATTAAGTTAGTTATGTTAGATTTTTGCAATAGAAGAACCTTTTAGTTCGTTTTCTCATTGGGGCTAAATCTTGCTAGGACAAAGGCACCATTTCTTTGGTCACGTCCCTGCTGTTCCTATTCAACAGGTGAGAACACCAGTGATGAATTCTGAAGCAAAAGTTTTGGTGCCAGGGGTGCCTGGTCATCATGCAGCCATCAAGCCTGCTCCTCCACAAACTGAGGAAGTAGAGAGCAAGAGGAAATTGGGGGAAAATGAGGTAATAGAGGCACTCTGACGATGTTTGAGATTCGCACTCTGACGATTTTTGAGATTGCTCTTGAGACTCTAACACATATATCGGATAGAGCCAGACTTGGAACTTGAGGAACTGAGATTGCTGCTGTTAACTCTCTCTCTCATCCCCAGCAGCACAGGTTCCTGAAATTCCAGATTGTAGACTGTGAGATGTTTACTTGGCCACTGTTAATGGAGAAGACATTGTACTAACTACAGAAGGTGCTGTTTTGGCCTTTGTTAGTGGTCAGCTGGGTCACATAATTGAATACATCAAGCCAGGACTTGCTGTGATGATTTCCATTGGGTTTCGCATGTTGCTGACTTCCAGTGATGCCTCTTCTCTTGGCTGTCTGAGCAGTCCTGGCTAGTTTAGTGATAGTTGGTCATCATTTTAACCTCTTAACTTATAAAATTTCATTTTTTCTCAGCTCCCTAGACCTTCCTTCCTGTGGTTATTGTACTTGTCTCTGCAGCTTTTTTTTTTTTTTCTTAAGATTTTTATTTGAGAGAGTAAGCGAGCCATGAGTGGGTGGTGGGGGAGAGGGAGAAGCAGATTCCCTGCTGAGCAGGGAGCCAGATGCAGGACTTGGTCTCAGGACCCTGTGATCATGACCTGAGTCAAAGGCAGACACTTAACTGACTGAGCCACCCATTTGCCCCTGGACCAAGCTACTTTAGGCCTTGTCTGGTTTCACATTAATAGATCATTTCTGTTCTGCAGGTTAGCATTGAAGAGCGCCTGGGAGCACTGGATATAGATACAAAGAAAGAAAAGGTTGACCTTCCACAGACAAATAGCTTTCCAGTTCTTCTCACACAGGGTTTAGAAAGTAATGATTTCGAAATGCTAAATGTAAGTATTACAGCAGTTTTTCAAATGAATTAAGACAGTTAATTTTTCTTAGAAAGTGATTGACCTAGCACACTCAAGTGAATAGTCATGTGATATAGCTATTTTGAATTTAATATTTTCTGACTGTAGTCAAGGATAGATCACTTGGTGGCACTATACAGACAGTCACCAACCTACAAAGGCATTGTGTTAAATTATTTTGAACCTGGAATGCATTTTCTCATAGAAATATTGTTCTGACTTGTTATTAGGTCTTAGGCTTTAGTTCACAAAAGCCTTTTATAAACATAGTGTAGCTGAACTATAATACTCAGCATTCTAGATCACAATTTATATTTTTTTCTGTAGGAAAATGCGTTCCTGAGTTTTTACTCTGGATTCCAGAAACTTATTTCCCCCTGGCCGTGAGAGGGGGCGGTGAGGTGGAACCTTGGCAATGGGTAGGAGGTTTGGGGGAAAAATTCAAGAGGGTTGGGGGTTATGTTTGAAGTATTTAGAGGTAAAAGTACTAGAAATTTATATAACGGAGGTATTTATTATTTCTGTGTTTGTAGGTTGGTGACTGCTTGTATGAAGTAACATAATTAGGTCCTCTTAAATTCTAGAATTTAATAGTGGTCTGTAGAGAAAATTTAATGTAAAAATTGGATTTAAGCGCTGCCTGATTAGATAAAATCAGTTTACATTTTCTTAGTGATTCAATATTATGGTGCCACTTAGTATTGATGTGACTTTATTCATAGGCTACTTTAATCATGTAACCTATGAATAGCGTCTTTCTGATTTATATTTTGATCTAAATGTGAATATCATTTATGTCTAAGGTGATTTTACAAAACGAGGGGAAATCACATCCTAAAATTTTTTGTAAAATTACTTGTAAAATAGTTTGTGAGTATATGTAATTTGAAAGGTGGATTTTAGTTACATGGCATAGAAACCTAGATGAAAATAAGCTGTAGAAAACAATGGACAATGTTTTTAAAATGTAACGTAATTTATCTACTGCTGTTGTCTCCTTAACTATACTTTGAAACCTTTCTCAGTGATACAAGTAAATCAGCTACCGATTTTTTTTTAAAGAAACATTTCAAAACATTTAGAATTATTACAGTGGACCCCCCCACGCACTCATCACTGAGTTTCAGAAATTATCAGCACTAGCCAATCTATTTGTCATTGTGTCATGTATCTGCCCACAGGCCTCCCTAGGTTATAGTGAAGCATAGAGACGACATTTTATCCGTAAATACATCCTTGTTCAACTCTGACAGTAACAACTCCTTTTAAAAACAACCACAATCCATTATTACACCTTAAAAAAGTAAACATCAATTCTTTGAAATCATCAAATATTCAGTTAGTAGGTTTATAGTTCCCTGATTGTCTCATGAACTTCTTAAGTTTTTATATTTGCTTTCTTCAAAATGGGATCCCCATGAAGTACACACAGTATTGGGGAGATAATGCCTCTTCTGTGTCTTGCAGTTAAGTTTTTGGGGAAGCTATGTTATTTGCCCTGAAGAGATTCTCACATTCTGGATTTTTGCCTTCTGTAAAACTCCATTTTGTTGTGTCATTTAATCCAGTAAATGATACATTTAACATGTTCCTCTAACATACTTCTTGTACACTGGTAGTTGGATCTAAAAGCTTGTAGAGATTCAGGTTAAAATCTTTTGGCACTTCAAAGGTGACAGTGTATTTATCAGACATCACAGAGTTGTTGGGGAAACAGTATGACCTTTTTGGAAGCACTTCTTAAATTGTGAAGGGTTGTACACGCAAGATTTTTTCATTATTAGAGGTCTTTAGGTGATACATTGTATTAAGTAGAAGTAATTGGAAACTAGAATCCTGAAACATTGTGTGCTGGAAAAGACCTGTAAAAGTTAGAGTGAAGAGCTTCTTTTAAAATAACCCTTTAAAAAAGATAAGTAAAATATATATATAATTTTTTTTAAGATTTTATTTATTTGAGAGCGGAGAACACAAGCAGGGAGGAGGGGAAGAGGCAGAGTGAGAGGGAGAAAGAGACTCTCCGTTGAACAGGACCCTGAGGTTATGACCTCAGCCGAAGGCAGATACTTAGCTGACTAAGCCACCCAGACCATGCCCCCCAATAGTTTTTTTCTCCTAAAAATACTCTTCTTTAATCCCAAAAGTTACCTTATGATTATACATGAAATATAGCAGGAGGACAATAAAAATGAAAGAAGGCAATGAGCAGTGGCAGGAGTGTATCATATGACTAGAAGTGAGAAGAATCCCTACCGTAGAAAACTTGACATTAAATTTGTGGCTTTAGAAAGGTGGAAATTTGACTCAAAGAAAATGTCTATAGCTTATGAGAAGTCTAGTCATTTATGTAATTCATGGCATCCACAGACGACAGCTATTTTTAGATTTTTAAAAATGTATGTAAATAATTTTGTGCCATTTACAGTAGGATAAATTCTGTAAAATACACTATAAAAGATGCCTCTACCTCTGCATTACAAAAATTGAGAGAAATTAACAAAGATTTGAGTAGTGATGTTTATGGTTGAAAGATTTAATACTGTTAAACGAGGAATTCCCCCCACCCCCCCCATACTTTTCTGTGTATTCAGTGCATTCCCAATTAAATTTCAGCAGCATCTCCAGGTAAAATTGGAGGACTTAGCCTACTCAATTTCTTTTCTTTCTTTTCTTTTCTTTTCTTTTCTTTTCTTTTCTTTTCTTTTCTTTTCTTTTCTTTTCTTTTCTTTTCTTTTTTCTTTTCTTTTCTTTTCTTTTCTTTTCTTTTCTTTTCTTTTCTTTTCTTTTCTTTTCTTTTCCTTTCCCTTTCCCTTTCCCTTTCCCTTTCCCTTTCCCTTTCCCCTTCCCCTTCTTTCTTTTCTTTTCTTTTCTTTTCTTTTCTTTCTTTCTTTCTTTCTTTCTTTCTTTCTTTCTTTCTTTCTTTCTTTCTTTCTTTCTTTCTTTCTTTCTTTCTTCTTTCTAAGATTTTATTTATTCATTCACGAGAGATATAGAGAAAGAGGCAGAGACATAGGTAGAGGGAGAAGTAGGTTCCCGTAAGGAACCCGATGTAGGACTCGATCCTGGACTCCAGGATCATGCCCAGAGCAGAAGGCAGACGCTCAACCACTGAAACATCCAGGCGTCCCAAGCCTACTCAGTTTCTTTTTTTTTTTTTTTTTTAAATTTTATTTATTTATGATAGTCACAGAGAGAGAGAGAGAGAGAGGCAGAGACACAGGCAGAGGAAGAAGCAGGCTCCATGCACCAGGAGCCCGATGTGGGTGGGACTCGCGCCAAACCGCTGCACCACCCAGGGATCCCACCTACTCAGTTTCAAGATAAAGTATAGTAATCAAGATAGTTTGATAATGGTGAAAAATAAATACAGATTAAGGAACCAAAATAGTCCAGAAATAGACCATACACAATTAGTTGAGTTAATGGAGAAAGTAAAATCATTCCAACAATTAATCCTGTACCAACCAAATATCCATATGGAAAAAAAAAATACATCTCAGCTCTTATTTCACAAAAGTTGACTCAAAATAGATAAATGTAAAACCGAAATCTACGAAACTGGGGAAACTGGGATCCCTGGGTGGCGCAGCGGTTTAGCGCCTGCCTTTGGCCCGGGGCGCGATCCTGGAGGACCCGGATCGAATCCCACATCGGGCTCCCGGTGCATGGAGCCTGCTTCTCCATCTGCCTATGTCTCTGCCTCTCTCTCTCTCTCTCTCTCTCTGTGTGTGACTATCATAAATAAATAAAAATTATAAAAAAAAAATCTACGAAACTTCTAGAAGATAGGATAAAATATATGCAAACATTAGTGGACAGAGTCTTGATGGCATCACAAAAAGCATTACACACTCCAGGAAAAAAGCGGTCATTTGGACTTAATGAAAGTTAAAAATCTTTTACTCTTGAAATGACACTGTTAAGAGAGAGGAAAGGTAAGCTGCGGGCTGGCAGAATATTTGCAATCCTTACATCAGACAAGTGTTCCTATCCAGAAAATATAAAAGACTCAATAATGAGACTCAACTCAAATAAAAATCTGGTAAAGGTGTGAACAGGTACTTCACAAAAGAATTTAAATGGCCAGTAAGTGCATTTAAAAGTATTACATATCATGGATCACCACCAATGCAAATTAGCATGACAGTGAGCTAACACTACATACCTGCAGTGGGTTGATTAAAATTTAAAAGATCCTTCTGTTGGTGAGAATGTGGTACAGTTGGAATCTCATATCTTGCTGGTGGGAATATAAAATGGTACAGCTACTTTGGAAAAGAATTAGGCAGTTTCTTAAAAGTTAAAGATTCATCTCCCATAAGACCCAGCCATATTCTACTGATAGGTATTTACCTGGAGAATCAAAAACATGTTCATATAAAGACTTGTACATGAATGATGCTAGCAACTTTATATTTTTTAAATAATTGTAACCTTGAGAGAACACATGTTCCTCAACATATGAACAAATAAATTCTTTATGTAGCACTGTTAGGAATATATTATTGATACATTAGCAACATGGATGAATCTCAAACTTAGGCTGTGAGAAAGAAGCCAAAGAGTACATGCTCTTTATGATTCTATTTATATAAAAATTCTAGGAAATGCAGACCAATATATATAGTTCAGTGGTTACCTGGGGGTGAGGGTGGACGATTAGAATGTTAAGGGGCCTAAGGAGGCTTGAAGGTGATGGAATGTTTATCATAGTGTTTGCTTCATGGATAAATGTTTATGTCATACTGATTAAATAGTATATTTAAGTGTGTACTGTTTATTATGCTTCAGTTATAGTGTAGCAGACTTGTAAAAGAAAAACCTTCAATATTATCTTGGCTAGTTACAACTGTGGTTTATAGGGTTGTCCCTTTAAATATATTTTCAGTGGAAGTTAATGCTAACTTCTATATCCATTAACACTTTACTTTGGCTTATGGTAACTTGCTTTTACTTATTTTAATTTGGAAAATTATCATAGACCCTCTTGTTAGTTAGTATAAGAATTACTTGAGAGCTTGTTAAAAATTCTTCTGTCCAGCAGTTTGATATAACTTCTAAATAGCTAGGCCATACGTACTCTTTTTTTTTTTTTTTTTTTTTTTTTTTAAAGAGAGAAGGAGAGCAGATGAGAGGGAGAGGGAGATAATTAGGTGGGGCTCTTTCTTACAATCCTGTTGAGATCTTGACCTGAGACAAAGTCAAGATGGGCACTTAACCAATTGAGCCACCCAAGTGCTCTAAGCCATATGTACTCTTGTTGGCCTTTGACAGTTCTAGTTTATACCTCTTATCTTGGTATAATAATTAATAGTGACTTTCATTGTCATGTGTCCTAGTTTAGACAACAAATTATATGATCACATTATATTTTAGAGCACCAGGAGATTTCACATACTACATATTTTTTAAACCCTCATTCCTATATTGTTTTTAACTAAGCTTTTGGTATAAATAATGTACAACAATAGATTCAAGTTTATATCCCGTGACTTGAAGGGCTACTATCCTACTTGGCCAGTTAAGACCATGAAACCTGATAGTTTGGTGAACATCTTGTGAAAATTGAGGACCTTAACAAGAGTGGGTCTTATTTCAAATAGTAATTTGTAGACTAGTTCAGATAGATTGTTCCCTATAACCTGTAGATTGTTCAAACTTTGTGATAACTGGTATTTATAATAACATGATTTGAGGAATGTTTAGTATCATCACGCATCTTCTGAATTACTGTTGAAGTTCTGATCAACATATTTTGCTTTGAATCTTGTATTCTGATTATTTGAAAATATAAATTTAGGTTAATTGAAACTGTTTAATCAGGACAGTCCATTCCTCACTTTTATAAAAAGTTTTATTTCTTTTGCATGAGGAACTATGCAATTATTCCAGTGGTAGTTTTTGTGTAGTTTTTGATGGATTTGAAAGGGCTTGGTGTAAAGATATTTTTATAAGTAAATAAAATTCATAGGGAATTCTGAAAAGATGCTGTTAAAATAGGCTATTATCAGTCTTCTGTATATTGCCCTTTGGTACTTCTGCTGTTTATATTTTAAGCATGGCCTTTAGAGTACCAATCATCACCAAAACAGCATGCATCCATCATCAGGGAAGTTCCTCTGGGAATTAAACTCTTTGGAAAGAATAAATACATAGAAAAGTTCAAGAGGAAGGGGAGAATGAAGATTTTGAGAACCTGAAAGGACTTGTATTTCACACTCTTGCCTATAGATGAAGCATCTGGGGTTTGGAGACATTGAAAAGCCTGCCAGGATTAGGACTACTCTCTCTCTCTCATTTTCTGTACCCTGTAGTGGAGACTGGGTTTCTCCAGTTGAGGTACTCTCCCAGGGTTTTGATTCAAGCATTCGTTATGTATGATCTTTTAATTATCTTAAAATTTTATCAAAAGTTGATAATTTTAAAAGATTTGTTGCTTTCTAAGTGTGGTTTTAGTATGTTTTGCTCAATCATATGTGGATATATCTCTGATTTCATAAAATGGCAGTTTGATAGCTTCTCTAAAGTGGCATATATCTGTAAATGTCTAGAGGTGTTCTATTTTATGTAAAAATTTCATAAAGTTTAGAATCTGTAGAGAAGAAACTCCGTTCATCAAAGTAAATGTCTTGATTCCCGAAGATTATTCTTTTTGAGAGCCAAAGACCATAACATAACATTTTCCAGTCAGCCCTTCCAATCTTCATTCACTAAAATTCAGTTGGTATTTTATTGTTTGGTTGTTAAAACAGACACAAGAAAAATGCTCAACATTACTCGGCATCAGGGAAATACAAATCAAAATCACAATGAGCTACCACTTCACACTGCTCAAAATTATTAAAATGAACAACTCAGGAAACGGCAGCCGTTGGCAAGGATGAGGAGAAAGGGGAACCTTCTTGCACTGTTGATGGGAATACAAATGGGTGCAGCCACTCCTAAAAACCGTATGGAGGTTCCACAAAAAGTTAAATATAGAACTACCCTACCACCTAGCAATTGTACTACTAGATATTTATCCAGAGGATACAAACGTAGTGATTTGAAGGGGCACATGCACCCCAATGTTTATAGAAGCATGTCTGCAGTGGCGAAAGTGTGGAAAGAGCTCAAATGTCTATTGATACATGAATGGATAATGAAGATGTGTTATAGATGTATGTGTATATACATATATATAGACACATACAATGGAGTGTTTTACACATGCACTGGAGTATTACTCAACCATAAAGAATGAAGTCTTGCCATTTGCAGTGACGTAGATGGAACTAGAGGGTATTATGCTAAGTGAAAAAAGTCAGAAAAAGAACCATATGATTTCACTCCTATGTGAAATTTAAGAAACAAAACAAATCAACATAGAAGGGAAGGAAAATAAGACAACAGGGAGGCAAACCATAAGAGACTCTAACTACGGAAAACAAACTGAGGGTTGCTGAAGGGAAGGTGGGTGGAGGATGGGGTAATCGGGTTATGAGCATTAAGAAGGGCATTTGATGTAATGAGCACTGGGTGTTCTATGCTACTGAGGAATCACTGAATTCTTTCCCTGAAACTAATAGTACACTGTATGTTGATTAAATTGAATTTAAAAAAGAAAAAATATCATTTTTACTGTTTTTCCTTTAGTGTCTTTAGCTTCTGCATATACTTATCTTTATGTTTCTTTTATTTTCTCACAGAAAGTACTTCAAACTAGGAATTTAAACCTAATTAAGAGGACTGTATTAAGGATGCCCCTGCATGCTGTTATTCCATTGTTACAAGAGGTAACTGTACTCTTTTCATTTTAAGGTCCTAACACTGTGAGTTAAGAGAAAATCTAGTGTTTAGAGAAATGGATTTGTAATATGTAAGCAAGCAGGGTACTTAGAGTAGATAATAGATCTATTCAAAATTTACCTAGTTCACATTTTTTAGTGTATTTTTTATTGAGATATAATTCATATACCATAATATATACTCTTAGTATGTATATGCATTGTGCTGTGTTTTTCTTTAAAAATCTACAGGTTGTGCAGTTGTCACACCAAAAAATTTGTGTGCCAGTTAGCCGTTCACCATTCTCCCTTACTCCCAGTTTCTGGCAGCCACAGATTATTTTCTGTCCCTGGGTTTGCCTGTTTTGAACATTCATTTATATAACTTGTAGCTTAGATTTTTATCAGGTGGTAATTACTCTTATTGTGAGAATGTGTTCCTAGATTATGTTATGTTCCTTGAACAGTGAGGAATTAGGAAATTTAGGAATTCTTTAGGAATATTGATTTCCTAATAGTCTTTTTTGGATGGGGGAGAGGGAGAGAGAATCTTAAGCAGGTTTTCTCTGCCCTGCACAGAGCCCTTATTCTGGGGCTCAATCTTCTCCTGAAATTAAGATCTGAGCTGAAATCAAGAGTTGGATGTCCAGGCACGCCCTGTTAATATTCTTTTTTGTTTTTTGTTCTCCTGGATGTGTGTATTGTGGGAATTGATGCACATTGGCTGTCTCTGAAGTGCTGTCACTAATACGGTTTTTCTCCCCCTCAGCTTACGAAGAGATTGCAGGGACATCCTAATAGGTAAGATATTTAGGGGACTTACATTGCTTTGATTTTATTAATATTTTAGAGGTGATTGTTAAAAACATTTTCTGACAGCATGAAATTACATAGTGGATAGCTCCACACTTAATTGGTAAAACTCTAGAAGGGTCAGATACTGCATTCCCCACACTTACTGTAGATTGAATAACTCTTTTTTATTTTTTTTAAGATTTTATTTATTTATTAATGAGAGACAGAGAGAGAGAGGCAGAGACACAGGCAAGAGGGAGAAGCAGGCTCCATGCAGGGAGCCTGACTTGGGTTTTGATCCCAGGTCTCCAGGATCATCAGGCCCTGCGCCAAAGGTGGCACTAAACTGCTGAGCCACCGGGGCTGCCCAAGATTGAATAACTCTTAATCCTAAGATTTTAGTACAGTAGTACAGTTTTTTTTTTTTCTTTTCTTCTTCTTCTTCTTCTTCTTCTTCTTCTTCTCCTTCTCCTTCTCCTTCTCCTTCTCCTCCTCCTCCTCCATTTCTTCTTCTTCTTCCTTTCTTCTTCTTCTTCTTCTTCTTCTTTCTTTTCTTCTTCTTCTTCCTTCTCTTTTTAAAGAAAACTCCTGTGTAATTTTTCATTATCAGGTTGTGTAATGAATTAGTCTTAATGATTTAGTCCTAATCAGATGTAAAATTGCCATTTGTAGAACTTCCCCAACCTCTGGTAGTTGCTAAGACACTGTAAGGAAATATTTTATAGGACTGAATTTTGTGTTTTTATTAATACTTTGATGATGAAGTATTTGAATAGGGGGTTGGTATCTCAGGGATCCTAAGCTGACAGTGTAGTTTTATCAGTGCTACAGTATATAGTTGTTTTTTTTTCTTTTTTTTTTTAAAGATGTTATTTATTTGAGAGAGAGCACATGGGGTGGGGGGTGTAGTTGGAAGGGCACAGGGAGAGGAAGAAGCTGACTCCCTGCTGAGCAGGGAGCCCTATGCTCATCCCAGGATCCTGAGATCATGACTTGAGCTGAAGGCAGATGCTTAAACCAACTAAACCACCTAGGCCCCCCTAGTTTTTCTTTTCTAAGTTTTTTCCCCTGATAGACTCCATTTGTGTTTGGAACTCACAGAGAAAAGCCAGAGAATTCATTGATTAGGCCCACCTTACACATTTTTTGGTTTATATTTGTCTTTTAACGTGGCATGGAAATCTTTTGCTATTTGTACCTTATGGTGAGTAGATGGTGGGCATAAAATGCCAAGTGATTTGAGCTCAGTTTATTGCCTTGGTATCAGTTAATTATGAAGTAAAGCATTGGTTTTATTCTTGAATTGTTTTAGAGGAAGGGAGTTATGTTCAGTCCATATTACCCCCCTCTCCTCCCCATGAGATGAGTCTGTTTTCACAGATCTCAGACTCATAAAGGGATGAGAAGACTGTCAAAGTCAATGATTTATTTAGTAGTGTTGTTTTTCACGGGGCACAATTTATAGATCTTCACTTGGCCGGAGTTTTCTAATATTACAGCTCTGTTGTATTTAATTTTGAATTCATGAATATTTGTTTACTTGGATTTTTTTTTTTCAGTGCTGTGTTAATGGTTCAGTGGCTCAAATGTGTGTTAACGGTCCATGCATCCTATCTATCCACAGTAAGTCTTCAGCTGTTGTTGCTCAGTGGCTCTGATAAGGATTAGAAACTGATGTGTTAATGAAAGCATCCTCCCTCAACCTGCCCTTCAACCGTCAGCTACTGCTTTTAAAGGTTTTATTTTACCCCAGGTGCAATGTAATGTCACCATTGTTGACTTTGGAAATTGGCCTTTTTTTTTTTTTTTGCTCTGGATTTTAGAAGTAATATATATTCTATAGAAAACGTTGAGAAATACAGAAAGGAGAAAAGTTAACATTGGCATACTAGTCTTTAGGTGTTTTAAAAAATATATAACCTGTTTAGCAAAATTATTTTTATATAATGTGTATCTCCCCATTCTTCTATCTTGTCCCAGGACAATGAAAGATAGCTTGTGGTAAAAATGAAGTTAAATATTTAATACATGTCATTTTGTGGGGCTTCTGTCACTCTTTGTTATCTATGCAAATGGAAAGGAGGAAACAGTTTTAAAGCAACACCAGAAAACACAGTGTTATATGTCATAATATGAATTGGGTTCTTCGCCCACTAAGTCAGTTATATTTTAAGCTAGAAAAAAATTTACACAATTTCCTTTTTCCTTTTTCTTTAATTTTATTACCTAGGACCTTATAATAGATTTTCTTAAGAGGTTATAGTGAACAGTTGGAGAAAATTCTTAATTGCTCTTCCTTTCTTAACACAGTTTCATTTATCCAGCTCAGCCTGGTCACTGTTCCTTGTTCTTTCTCAGACTTCTTTTGCCTTCAGTAGTTTGAAATAGGGAAAACAAATGGATAACCTGCTTTGAGGCCAGCAGTTCTATGAGTCTGGAGGGAATTCCGTCAGGATGTTAGAATTGGGGGAGGTACAGGAGATGGTCAGAATGGCTGCTGGGTTTCCCCGCTTACAGAATCTTGGGAGATGAGGTGAAGGCAACTATGAGTGCAGTGGCTGAGTGGTGGGTGGTGGGCACAGGAAATTCCCCTAGGCATCCGGATTTGTGGGAAACAGGACACTTTTTTTTTTTTTTGTAACCTCATTTACATGCTTACAAGTAAAAAAGAGCCTAAGGAGGCCTTGTAATGAAATCCCTTCTGGAACCAACTGCTAAGGGTGAACTGCTGGAGTAGTAGTAGTATAAACATTCAGTCTGGCTGAACAGATCAAAGAAGCATGGTATGAAGAGGGCTCCATTGTGGGGGTGGGTGAGCAATTTTCTCTCCTCAGACAGTGCTTTCCCTTCGTTTCCTCCTCTTTATCAGGTGTTACCTTTTCTAAGCCAAGGGACTGTGCTAAGCCTGAGGCTTAAGTAATGGACAGATGCCCTAATCCCCCTTTTTCTGGAGCTTATTGTCCCAGTAGGGACAGATAAAGAAAGAGTTGAATGACAATTGGAATGTGATCATGTTAAACTTTGTTTTAATCATTTTGTGCCTGTATGCTGTTTTATTTATTTTTAAGATATTTGTTTGTTTGTTTGTTTATGAAAGAGAGACAGACAGACAGACACAGGCAGAGGGAGAAGCAGGCTTCACGCAGGGAGCTGGACGTGGGACTCTATCCTGGGTCTCCAGGATCCAGCCCTGGGCTGAAGGTGGTGATAAACCTCTGAGCCACCCAGGCTGCCTTGTTTGCAGTTTTAAAGTTTAACATTTGAATGAAACTCTTAGTTATGCTAAATTGTCAGCAGTAGAAGGGTAAGTACAGGCTAAAGGGCTGAGTGAGTTCTTTTTTTTTTTTGTCCCCCTGGAGGGACAGATTTCATGCTTCAATTCCTTAAGCATAGTTCAGAGGATTCTTTAATAGGGAGTATATTTGAAATACTCTAAGGTCAGCTTTGTATTCTGTCGCTCTGTCAGTGCTGTTCTCAGGAAGCTGTGAAAACGTTCCTTTAGTTTGATAGGGTCTTATGGTAGAAGGTAGATAATGTGATATTATCAGAGTAAATTTCAGAGGAAAGCCCAGAGCTACGTGGTGGTTTCTTTTTTTTTTTTTTTTTTTTGTCTCAATTACACTGGCCTTCCCTCAATATTTTATTTTTAATTTTTAAAAATTATTTTAGGGCAGCCCCCGTGGCCCAGCAGTTTAGCACCGCCTTTGGCCCCGGGGCGTGATCCTGGAGACCCCGGATGAGTCCCACGTTGGGCTCCCTGCATGGAGCCTGTTTCTCCCTCTGTCTGTGTCTCTCTCTCTGTGTCTGTCATGAATAAAAAAAATCTTTAAAAAATTATTATTTTAAAGATTTTTTATTTATTTGTGAGAAACACACAGAGAAAGGCAGAGACATCGGCCAAGGGAGAAGCAGGCTCTCCTCAGGGAACCCTATAGGGATCTTGATCCCAGGATCCCGGGCCCATGACCTGAGCCAAAGGCAGATGCTCAACCACTGAGCCATGCAGGCTCCCTTATTTTTTATTTTTATTTTTTATTCTTTTAGTAGGCTTCATGCCCAGTGTAGAGCCCAACTCAGGGCTTGAACTCACCAGGCTTAGATCAGCCTAACTGAGGTACCCAGGTGCCCCCTCCATCATTATTTTTTAAAAACTATTTTTTGCCTTTAGGACATAGAAAGGCTATGAAAAATTTGAGATGTTGCTAGGTAATGTGCCAAGCAGCCACTGCCACTGGAGCTGTAGCAGATGCTTGTGATGCAGTGACTCAGTACTTGAGTGTATCTGAGCATGATTTGTATGTTTGTTATCTGTACTTTGTCATGATAGTATGAGATATCTTTTCTCCCTTCAGTTGCCTGATCTGGTACCCCAGCTGGGAACACTATACCAATTAATGGAAAGCAGAGTAAAAACTTTTCAGAAACTCTCACATCTTCACGGAAAGCTTATTCTTCTAATCACTCAAGTGAGTAAATCAGATTGTTTTGTGCTAAGCTTTGAATGAGATAGGAATAGAGTGAGGAATAAGGAATGTTTACCTGATCATTGAAAGCCCCATGTTTCAGCAAAAAATTGATAAATCAGGATCCAGTCTTTAACTTGGAAATGTTATATATTTGATAGTAAGTAAACTTATGCCTGATTGACCTTTTCCTCAAAGGTTCTCAGCATCCTATTTTAGTTTTTGATACAGTTAGGATGGTTGTGCTACTATGAATAGCAAGTTACAGGGTATTTATTCAGTTACAGTTTTGGCACAGAAAAATTCTGATCACCTTAAGAGGTTCAACTTTAACAGAATAATTCTTTATTCTTTTATTTGACAAATTTATTTTTTGTCCTGTATTTGGTCTCTATTCCTATTGAGGTCATCTATCGTAGTGTTTGAGGGCAAGTTCACTGTTTGGGAAGGTGGAGTGAGCATGGTGGTGGCTGCCATCCTTGAGATAACTTTGTACTCTTCCTAACAACACTTGATTACCTTTCAGGTTACAGCATCAGAAAAAACAAAGGAAATGACTTGTCCTGCGCAAAAGGCAAAATTGGTGTATGAGGAAGGTGAGGCTTGAAGGGAGTGTGGAGTTTAGAATTGGAACATTCATTATTTAATGTTGAGTTCTGTTACCTTATTTTGTAGAATATGAATGTGAGTAAGATCATGCTATGGCACGCTTTTTCTAAGAAAATGGGCAAACCTGTGGCAAAAATATGATCCAGTAAAAGAGAAGGTGCAAATGTACAGTAAATAAGAAGGCACACTAGGTGTGGAAGAGATTTAAATAGGAAGACACTATGAATAAACTTTTATGCCAGCACATTAAAATCCTAGATGAGAATAACTAATTTCTTAGGAAACAGTAATGACCAAAAGTGACTTAAAAAGAAATAGAAACCTAGAATAAGATAGTGGCCTTAAATTGATTTAATCAAAACATTTGCTCAGAGATGTCAGGCACAGAGTTTTATTTAAAATTTTTTATTTAAATTCAGTTTGTTCACATATAGTGCAACACCCATTGCTCATCCCATCAAGTCTCCTCCTCAGCAGGCACAGAGTTTTTATAGATATATTTTGTCAATCTTTCAATGAACAATTCATTTTTGTCCTGTATAAACAACTCATGCATTTTATGAGTCAAACCAAATAAGGATGATAGTTAAGGAAACAAGATTTTAGGTCATCTTCAAATATCCTGAATAGTAAGTTGATTATTATTTTTTTTAAATAATTTTTATTGTTCAATTTACCAACATACAGAATAACACCCAGTGCTCATCCTGTCAAGTGTCCCCCTCAGTGCCCATCACCCATTCACCCCCACCCCCCGCCCTCCTCCCCTTCCACCACCCCTAGTTCGTTTCCCAGAGTTAGGAGTCTTGATGTTCTGTGTCCCTTTCTGATATTTCCCACACATTTCTTCTCCCTTCCCTTATATTCCCTTTCACTATTATTCATATTCCCCAAATGAATGAGAACATACACTGTTTGTCTTTCTCCGATTGACTTACTTCACTCAGCATAATACCCTCCAGTTCCATCCACGTTGAAGCAAATGGTGGGTATTTGTCGTTTCTAATGGCTGAGGAATATTCCATTGTATACATAAACCACATCTTCTTTATCCATTCATCTTTCGATGGACACCGAGGCTCCTTCCACAGTTTGGCTATTGTGGACATGGCTGCTAGAAACATCGGGGTGCAGGTGTCCCAGCGTTTCATTGCATCTGAATCTTTGGGGTAAATCCCTAACAGTGCAATTGCTGGGTCATAGGGCAGGTCTATTTTTAACTCTTTGAGGAACCTCCACACAGTTTTCCAGAGTGGCTGCACCAGTTCACATTCCCACCAACAGTGTAAGAGTGTTCCCTTTTCTCCGCATCCTCTCCAACATTTGTGGTTTCCTGCCTTGTTAATTTTCCCCATTCTCACTGGTGTGAGGTGGTATCTCATTGTGGTTTTGATTTGTATTTCCCTGATGGCAAGTGATGCAGAGCATTTTCTCATGTGCATGTTGGCCATGTCTATGTCTTCCTCTGTGAGATTTCTCTTCATGTCTTTTGCCCATTTCATGATTGGATTGTTTGTTTCTTTGGTGTTGAGTTTAATAAGTTCTTTATAGATTTTGGAAACTAGCCCTTTATCTGATACATCATTTGCAAATATCTTCTCCCATTCTGTAGGTTGTCTTTGAGTTTTGTTGACTGTATCCTTTGCTGTGCAAAAGCTTCTTATCTTGATGAAGTCCCAGTAGTTCATTTTTGCTTTTGTTTCTTTTGCTTTCGTGGATGTATCTTGCAAGAAGTTACTGTGGCCAAGTTCAAAAAGGGTGTTGCCTGTGTTCTCCTCTAGGATTTTGATGGAATCTTGTCTCACATTTAGATCTTTCATCCATTTTGAGTTTATCTTTGTGTATGGTGCAAGAGAGTGGTCTAGTTTCATTCTTCTGCATGTGGATGTCCAATTTTCCCAGCACCATTTATTGAAGAGACTGTCTTTCTTCCAGTGGATCGTCTTTCCTCCTTTATCGAATATTAGTTGACCATAAAGTTCAGGGTCCACTTCTGGGTTCTCTCTTCTGTTCCATTGATCTATGTGTCTGTTTTTGTGCCAGTACCACACTGTCTTGATGACCACAGCTTTGTAGTACAACCTGAAATCTGGCATTGTGATGCCCCCAGATATGGTTTTCTTTTTTAAAATTCCCCTGGCTATTCGGGGTCTTTTCTGATTCCACACAAATCTTAAAATAATTTGTTCTAACTCTCTGAAGAAAGTCCATGGTATTTTGACAGGGATTGCATTAAACGTGTAAATTGCCCTGGGTAACATTGACATTTTCACAATATTAATTCTGCCAATCCATGAGCATGGAATATTTTTCCATCTCTTTGTGTCTTCCTCAATTTCTTTCAGAAGTGTTCTATAGTTTTTAGGGTATAGATCCTTTACCTCTTTGGTTAGGTTTATTCCTAGGTATCTTATGCTTTTGGATGCTATTGTAAATGGGATTGACTCCTTAATTTCTCTTTCTTCAGTCTCATTGTTAGTGTATAGAAATGCCATTGATTTCTGGGCATTGATTTTGTATCCTGCCACGCTACCAAATTGCTGTATGAGTTCCAGCAATCTTGGGGTGGAGGCTTTTGGGTTTTCTATGTAGAGTATCATGTCATCGGCGAAGAGGGAGAGTTTGACTTCTTCTTTGCCAATTTGAATGCCTTTAATGTCTTTTTGTTGTCTGATTGCTGAGGCTAGGACTTCCAATACTATGTTGAATAGCAGTGGTGAGAGTGGACATCCCTGTCTTGTTCCTGATCTTAGGGGAAAGGCTCCCAGTGCTTCCCCATTGAGAATGATATTTGCTGTGGGCTTTTCGTAGATGGCTTTTAAGATGTCGAGGAAAGTTCCCTCTATCCCTACACTCTGAAGAGTTTTGATCAGGAATGGATGCTGTATTTTGTCAAATGCTTTCTCTGCATCTAATGAGAGGATCATATGGTTCTTGGTTTTTCTCTTGCTGATATGATGAATCACATTGATTGTTTTACGAGTGTTGAACCAGCCTTGTGTCCCGGGGATAAATCCTACTTGGTCATGGTGAATAATTTTCTTAATGTGTTGTTGGATCCTATTGGCTAGTGTCTTGTTGAGAATTTTTGCATCCATGTTCATCAGGGATATTGGTCTGTAATTCTCCTTTTTGGTGGGGTCTTTGTCTGGTTTTGGAACTAAGGTGATGCTGGCCTCATAGAACGAATTTGGAAGTACTCCATCTCTTTCTATCTTTCCAAACAGCTTTAGTAGAATAGGTATGATTTCTTCTTTAAACGTTTGATAGAATTCCCCTGGGAAGCCATCTGGCCCTGGACTCTTGTGTCTTGGGAGGTTTTTGATGACTGCTTCAATTTCCTCCCTGGTTATTGGCCTGTTCAGGTTTTCTATTTCTTCCTGTTCCAGTTTTGGTAGTTTGTGGCTTTCCAGGAATGTGTCCATTTCTTCTAGATTGCCTAATTTATTGGCGTAGAGCTGTTCATAATATGTTTTTAAAATCGTTTGTATTTCCTTGGTGTTGGTAGTGATCTCTCCTTTCTCATTCATGATTGATTTTATTAATTTGAGTCTTCTCTCTCTTCTTTTTAATAAGGTTGGCTAATGGTTTATCTATCTTATTAATTCTTTCAAAGAACCAACTCTTGGTTCTATTGATCTGTTCCACAGTTCTTCTGGTCTCAATTTCGTTGAGTTCTCGAATTTTAATTAACTCTCTTCTTCTGCTGGGCGTCAGGTCGATTTGCTGCTTCTTCTCTAGCTCCTTTATGTGTAAGGTTAGCTTTTGTATTTGAGTTCTTTCCAGTTTTTGAATGGATGCTTGTATTGCGATGTATTTCCCCCTCAGGACTGCTTTTGCTGCATCCCAAAGATTTTGAACGGTTGTATCTTCATTCTCATTAGTTTCCATGAGTCTTTTTAATTCTTCCTTAATTTCCTGGTTGACCCTTTTATCTTTTAGCAGGATGGTCCTTAACCTCCACGTGTCTGATGTCCTTCCAAACTTCTTGTGATTGAGTTCTAATTTCAAGGCGTTATGGTCTGAGAATATGCAGGGGACGATCCCAATCTTTTGGTATCAGTTCAGACCCAATTTGTGTCCCAGTATGTGGTCTATTCTGGAGAAAGTTCCATGTGCACTTGAGAAGAATGTGTATTCAGTTGAGTTTGGATGTAAAGTTCTGTAGATATCTGTGAAATCTATCTGGTCCAGTGTATCATTTAAAGCTCTCGTTTCTTTGGAGATGTTGTGCTGAGAAGACCTATTGAGGGTAGAAAGAGCTAGATTGAAGTCACCAAGTATAAGTGTATTATTATCTAAGTATTTCTTCACTTTGGTTAATAATTCGTTTAAGTATTTGGCAGCTCCCACATTCGGGGCATATATATTGAGGATTGTTAAATCCTCTTGCTGGATAGATCCTTTAAGTATGATATAGTGTCCCTCTTCGTCTCTTGCTACTGTCTTCGGGGTAAATTTTAGTTTATCTGATATAAGGATGGCTACCCCTGCTTTCTTTTGAGAACCATTTGAATGGTAAATGGTTCTCCAACCTTTTATTTTCAGGCTGTAGGTGTCCTTCTGTCTAAAATGAGTCTCTTGTAGACAGCAAATAGATGGCTCCTGCTTTTTTATCCAGTCTGAAACCCTGCGCCTTTTGATGGGGTCATTAAGCCCGTTCACGTTCAGAGTTACTGTTGACAGATAATGAGTTTAGTGTCATCATGATATCTATTCAGTCCTTGTTTTTGTGGATTGTTCCACTGAACTTCTTCTTAAAGGGGAATTTTAAGAGTCCCCCTTAAAATTTCTTGCAGAACTGGTTTGGAGGTCACATATTCTTTCAGTTCCTGCCTGTCTTGGAAGCTCTTTATCTCTCCTTCCATTTTGAATGAGAGCCTTGCTGGATAAAGTATTCTTGGTTGCAAGTTCTTCTCATTTAGGACCCTGAATATATCCTGCCAGCCCTTTCTGGCCTGCCATGTCTCTGTGGAGAGGTCTGGTGTTACCCTAATACTCCTCCCCATGAAAGTCAGGGACTTCTTGTCTCTTGCTGGTTTAAGGATCTTCTCTTTATCTTTGGAATTTGCTAGCTTCACTATTAGATGTCGAGGTGTTGAACGGTTTTTATTGATTTTGGGGGGGGGAATCTCTCTATTTCCTGGATCTGAATGCCTGTTTCCCTTCCCAGATTGGGAAAGTTTTCAGGTAGGATTTGTTCAAATACATATTCTGGCCCTCTGTCCCTTTCGGCGCCCTCGGGAACCCCAATTAAACGTAGGTTTTTCTTCCTTAGGCTGTCATTTATTTCCCTTAATCTGTCTTCATGGTCTTTTAATTGTCTCTTTTTTTCCTCAGTTTCCCTCTTTGCCATTAACTTGTCTTCTATGTCACTCACTCGTTCTTCCACCTCGTTAACCCTTGTCGTTAGGACTTCTAGTTTGGATTGCATCTCATTCAATTGATTTTTAATTTCTGCCTGATTGGATCTAAATTCTGCAGTCATGAAGTCTCGTGAGTCCTTAATGCTTTTTTCTAGAGCCACCAGTAGCTGTATAATAGTGCTTCTGAATTGGCTTTCTGACATTGAATTGTAATCCAGATTTTGTAACTCTGTGGGAGAGAGGGCTGTTTCTGATTCTTTCTTTTGAGGTGAGGTTTTCCTTCTAGTCATTTTGCTCAGTGCAGAGTGGCCAAAAACAAGTTGTATTGGGAAAAGGAGAGAAAGAGAAGGAAAGAAAAGAGAAAAAGAAAAAAGAAAAAAGGAGAAAAAGAGAAAGAAAAAGGTGAAAAAAAAGGGGGGGGTGGGGGAAGCAATCAGAAATCAAAAAGAAAAGAAAAAAGAAAAAAAACAAAAAACATGGGGGAGTATCTTCTGATTCTGTAGACTTTAAGTCCCTTGACTTCCCCTGGAACTGGTCCGTCCAGCTGGTCTTCTGGGGGAGGGGCCTGCTGTGCTGATTTTCAGGTGTTAGCACTTGGGGGAGCTGCTCTGCCCCTGCCTGCTGCAGGGCTCAGTGGGGGTTGTTTACCCCGTGAGGCCCCAGGAGGAACAGCCCCAGTGGTTATGGCAGCTCTGGAAGCCTGGAGTCAGCCCCCGCAGGAACTATGGGGCTCTCCGTCCGCAGGGCCTGGAGGCTCTGGGGCGGGGCCGCTGATCTGCTCAGCTCGGGGCAGGAGCGTCCTGGTTGTCCTGGGCCCTCCCGGCCTCTGCCTGTCCCGGGGGGAGACCAGATCCTGGGCTGTGTCCTGGCGCCCTGTGGTCTGGGGCCTGCGCTGTTGGATTCGCGCTCCCGGTCGCGCAGCCGCCGCTCTGCGGAGCCGCCGCCCAAGCCCCTCCGAGCTGCTCCCGGCCGCGCAGCCCGCTCCGCGCTGAGCCTCTTCCTCTGCCCGAGCCGCCGCCGCCGAGCTGCTCCCGGAGCCGCGCAGCCCCCTCCGTGGAGCCGCCGCTGGAGCCCCTCTGAGCCGCCGCAGCCCTTAGGGAGCTCGGCGCACTCTCCCAGGCGCAGGTGTCTGTTAAGTGTCCCAGGGAGCCCGAGGGCATCCCCGCCCTCCTGGGTCCTGCTCCACCTCCCTGCGAGCCCCTTTCCGCCCGTCCGGGAAGGTTGGTGCAGCTCCTGCTTCTCCGGGACGGGGCTCTCCTGTCCTGGGGACGCTCGCCCCGGTCTCAACCTGGCTCCTCGTGGGGCCCCTCCCCCTTGGAGGCCTTTTGTTTCTTTCTTTTCTCCGTCTTCCTACCTTGATAGAAGCGCGAACTCTTCTCACTGTAGCATTCCAGCTGGTCTCTCTTTAAATCTCAGGCCGAATTCGTAGATTTTCAGGATGATTTGAAGGTTATCTAGGTAATTTGGTGGGGACAGGTGATTTGGGGACCCTACTCTTCCGCAGTCTTGCCCCTCCTGCCTCTAGTAAGTTGATTATTATAGAAGTGCTTGTGTAAAAGAATATGTCATTACCGAGGAGAATTTATTTAAAGATTTTAAGGGAAATTAGCAGGAAATCTATTAAATGTAGTTACCACATTAACAAATTAACAGGGAACAATATACGTTAGTAGATACAGAAAAAGAATTCAGTAAAATTCAGCCTTTCATCATCTTATTATTGATAATCTAAGCAACTTAGGAATTTAAAGGAATTTCCTTAGTCTTATCAGAGTTTGAAAGTATTCCCACAAAGTCAGGAACTAGACAATAATGCACCTTTTATTATTTTGCATATCCTGCCTAGTATTGTATGAAAGAAGTGAATCCTAGAACATTGGACTTGGCAGTTATCCTTCTCAACTTAGAAAATGAAGCAGAATCTAGTTACACCATCATTAATGAGATGAAAATAAACAAGTTTACTGGAATACCAAGATCACAAAAAGGAGTCAGTAGTATGATTGTCTCAGTAATGTATTACAGAAAATATATTAGGAAAAAAGATTTCATTCACAGCAGGAATCAAAACTAGAAGTACCTAGAAATATAAGTGAAACAAAACCTTTATAGAGAGCATGATAAAACATAACTGAAGGACATAAAAGCATACCTAAATTAGACTTTATTATTAATTACTTAGACTTTTTCCAGTTTTATTGAGATATATATAATATTGTACTGTTTTAGGTATACAACATAATTATTTGATGATCTCTGGATATATATTGTGAAATGATTACCATAATATGTTTAATCAACATTCATCACCACTCATTGTTGCGGTTATTTTCTTATGCTGAGAACTTTTTTTACTCTCTTTTAACAGCTTCCAAATACACAGTATGGTATTGTTAAGTGTGGTTACCATGCTGTACATTATATCCCCAGGACTGACCTGTAATTGGAAGTTTGTACCTTTAAAAAAAAAAAAAAAGATTTTATTTATTCATGAGAGAGCCAGAGTGAGAGGCAGAGACATAAGCAGAGGGAGAAGCAGGCTCCCCATGGGAACCCGATATGGGACTCCATCCAGAACCCTGAGATCATGACCTTGAGCCGAAGATAGATGCTCAACCACTGAGCCACCCAGGTGCCCCAGAACTTGGTACCTTCTGATTTTCACTCCTTTACTACACCCTCCATACCTCTGGTGATTACCAGTCTGTTCTTTGTGTCTTAGAAGCTTGGTGTTGTTAGACTGCACACATGAGTAAGATCATACAGTATTCTCCAGTGTTATTGCACCTAGTACAGTCCCCTCACCATCTGTGTTGTCACAGATAGGAGGATTTCCTTTTTTTAATAGCTGAATGGAATTTAATGGCTGAATGTATATCACATTTTCTTTAACCATCCATCCAGCCCTTCAATGAACTCCTAGGTTGTTTTCATGTCTTGGCTGTTGTAAATAATGCTGCAGTGAATGTGGGGGCGGTGCAGGGATCTCTTTGAGATCCTGATTTTGTTTCCTTTGACATATGTCCGGCAATGGTATTGACAGATCATCTGATAGCTTTATTTTTCATTTCTTGGGGAACTCCATACTGTTTTCAATAATGCCTGCACCAATTACATTTCTACCAACAGCACATGAGGGTTCCCTTTTCTCCACATCCTTGGCTTAGTTTTTTAAGATGATTTTGTTAGGGTTTTGGTACTTTGTCCTACCCAGTGAGATCTTGGTGGAATAATTAATGGACTTTTATGCAGATAAGATTATTAATGTTACTGCTTAGATGGATGATCACTGAATGTAATATTTCTAAAAGTAAATTCAAGAATCTGACTCTGTTTATTTAGTTTTTAGGGCTCTGCCCTCTGCAGAGTTGATCACATACTTAAGGCTGGGTTTTTCCCCTTGCAGAATCTTCTGAAGAGGAGTCAGATGATGAAATTGCAGAGAAGGACTCTGATGTGAGTACCTTGTTTTTTGGTCCATAAATCTGCCTTTATACCCTTCTAGTCTGTATGAACAAGGGCTTCATGAATGTTTTCTATGCTTCATCTCTTTCCAACAGGATAACTGGGATGAAGATGAGGAGGAGAATGAAAGTGAAAAAGATGAGGATGTTGATGAAGAGAATGAAGAAGAAGAGGAAGATGCTGAGGAAAGAGATGAGGAGAATGGGGAGGACAGGGATGTGGCCAGTGAGAAAGAATTAAATGGAGATTCTGACTTAGATCCTGAAAATGAAAGTGAAGAAGAATGAGGATGGAGAACAAGCTGATGGAACTCTGTCACTTCTGGCACGCGCCTTCCCCCATGCTGCCGACTTCTCCTGGGAAGGGTTGTCTCTGGGACAGGCGCCAGGGACTGTTGCACATATCCAGATTCCTCGTGCTGGTCCCCATGCCGTCTTGCTGTCCTGAGCACCCCAGTCTTCACTGTGTAAATAAGAGTGTTTCCTTCAAATGTTAATAAACTTTACACAGCAAATAGACACATTTTCTGCAATGTACTGACATGAGTGTCCAATATTTGGTATATTTTTATAATATAATATCCCAGTATGGTTGGTTCTAGCAAGAATTGACATAAGTGAAGACACAGACATTTCCCATGTAGGGTTTCAAGAACTGGACTTTTGTGAAGGAGTCAGCTCTTATCTCAGGTTGGTATCTTTCATCAGATCCAGATATGAAGCAGCACTAGTGAAAATTTTTAATTTAGTACATTTTCATAAAATATGAAAGGGTAACTAAAGATTTGGAGTAAAAAAAGGTTGGGACTTAAAAGTTAAATATCAGTATCCCTAGCTTATCTATTAATGGAGGTGTCTGATTTGAGTCAGGTTGAATATTTGGAGTGCTTCCCCCAAACAGCCACTTATTTTTTAAGCTGTCATGTGGAATATTTTTTTAAAACACACAAAAAATTATGGTAATTAAAAAACTAAAGAATTAGCCATATTAAGGATTTTTCTTGACTGCAAGTTGCCTGTAAAGAATCATCAGTGTATAGATTTAGAAGTACTCATTACCTGCAACTTTTTAAAGAATTCAGTTATAGCTGCTTTTGAAGAGGTTTTCATTTTTATTTAAATTACTAATGGATCAAAGAACAATTGTTTATTTTTTCTCTTTGGTTTTAGATATTAATGATAACCTTGTTGGAATTTTTTTCCAAAGAAAATATTTTTATAATTCAGTAATTTAATGTTTTCCTTTTCATTATCCACTCTTGGCAGTGTTAGGATATCTGTTTACCTTTAAAATAATAAATCTGACTCAAGATTTTTTATGTATGTATAAATAAGTATTTTGGTGTGCTACAAAAGCCTCATATTATCAGTTTTTTTTTTTTTTAAATGAGCCAGTATTTGTTTAGTGCTCACTAGGGAACATACAGATGGAAGCTCAACTCTAAGGGAGGGCAGGGGAGATGGGTTTATTTTTACCACCTGTGAATATGTAAAACACAAAAACCATTATCTCTGAGGGACTTTTTAACATCAGTGGCAGAACAGAGATTTCTGTGCTCTACTTATAGAGCTGGAGCCACACAAGCATCTTGGGAAAGCAAGTTTGAGCCAGCTACTGGTGTAATGTACAGTTATATTTGTCTATAAATGGAACTGTTTATGACAATTTAATACCATTCTCTTTGTAAAGTGAATAAATATTCATCTTTACCCAGTGCTTGTCTTGTGATATATGTAGAGGAACACAGCCCATATGGTTGGGCTTGTGTGAATATATCAAGAAAAGCAATTTTATTCCACTAGCATTAAAAAGTAAATGTGCTCAGGGTTTGTTGGAAACCCTAGACTTCGTAGTGAAGTGAATGAACCAAGAACTTTGAATTTCGATGCAGCTCCACTGGCTGGGTGGTGTTTCCACAGCCCGAGGCTGCAGTGGCAGTCTCCAGGACCTATATGCTCATGTACTGCATCCTGCCTTGTGGTCTGGGAGTCTGATTTCACTATACCTTACTCTCCCTGAAGGAGTAGAAGACTGTAGGGTGTAGTGATTGCTTCCTAATTACTTTTTGGGTTAGACATCCAGGGCTTAATTAGGCTTGTTCCAAAGACATTTCTGGTTCAGGGTATTTTTCACTATGTTGTTCAACAACTAGTCCAGGCAACAGCACTGTGTGGCTGAGGTCATCTTTTCTGAGATTAGTTTTTCACCCCCAACCTTTTATTTTGAAAAGTTAACTTTCCGTTCATCATCAAGGATTACACATTGTATTTGGTTGTGTTACTGCTGTATTATAATCAGAATTCTCCCTTTGTGTTTGTGTTTCATGATTTTGATATTTAAATGATTTCACATGTATTATGCTGTATTGTAGAATGTTTTACAATCTGGGTTTGTCTATTTACTTATGATTAGATTCTGGCTTAAATTTTCTTCTTTTGGGGCAAGAATACTAAATAGGTAGTGGTATTTGAGATTAATTTGTAAAAAGTTCTTTCAGTACAGATGACTATTGGTTATAAGTGTTTTGACATATGTAGAGGTCAAGTTTTTAGGTTTCTGAATGGAAGTTGTAGTGCAGAGGGGTGCTTGAGGGTCAGAAACTGGATCTTGGTAGTGAGAACACTTTTCTGTGGAAGTTAACTCTTAGCATGGTACATTCATTCATTTAACAAATATTGATTGATTGCCAACTCTGTGCCAGGAGATATGTAGTTCCTTGTTATATATATCACTGAATTCTGTCCTGAGGAGCTGATGTTCTAAAAGATAACAGGCAAAAACAACGTATAAAGAATAAGTAAATTCTATGTAGTATGTTAGAGGGTGGTAATTTACAGGGGGTGGGAAGTGGAGTAAGGAAATGGGGAGCCTGCGTGGGCGAGTGTAGGTTGTAGAATTAAATACATGATCAGGTTAGGGTTTATTGAGAAGGTGAGATTTGATCATAGACTAAGAGGGGTGAAGAAGTTAGCAAGTGGGTATCTGGAAGAGTGTTCTAGGTAAGGAAAGCGCCAGTGATTGTTGTAGTGAGATGTCAATGAGACAAACAGGAAGAAGGGGAGAATGGAGATTTGGTATTGATGGGTATGTGACATAAAGCCATGCGACTGCATGAGCTTCCCATGGAGTGAATGTACGGACACCCAGGTCTCATGCTCCAGCATCAGAATAAGAAGAGAAACCACAAGGGACACATCCAAGAAACACTGAGAGGTAGGAGGGTTTGACATTTATTTACTCTTCATTCTCTTCAAATCTGAATTCATGAAAACCTTCAGCTATGATTTTTTTTCAGCTCTAAGTGGTGTTACCATGAGTCCTCTCAGGCCGCAGTGGTTATGGTGCCTACCCTTCATATGCCTATTTGTTGATCCCCTTCTTTTAGAGGCAACTCAGGCATACAGTTTATTAATCTAATGTCATCAGTCTTCACCATTATGGCACCTCAGTACTGTCCACTGTAATGCTGACCCACTGTGTTTCCAAATTGTATACTGGATCAGAAAACGCAGAACGAGAGGCCATAGCAGTGTAGACAGCATCATTAGGAAACAGTCTGGCCGAGGAACAGGATAGATGGAGTTCATTCTGTAGTGCTGGCTGACAGGATGTAAGAAAATCAGATTGTTCTTGGCAGTACTATGATGGGTTTTCATATATATATATGTGGATAATTTTTATTAGGAAGGTAGATTTGAGAAGAACAGGGCAATTGTTTAGGTGGTGAGGGACATCAAATGAAAAACCCAAAAGTTGAAAATCAGCACTGTAAAAATTGCCTGGCATATTTGTAGGTAATAATGGCTCAAAGAGGGAGGAAGTATTCTGCTGAAGTTAAAGGGTTTCCTGATGGAAGTAAGTAGGTATGAAAGCATTTTGGTCTACCCTGGGCCCTAGTTAGAGGGGAAGGGGCAGTGCCAATGGTGAAGTCTGAGGCCACTTGGTGACTGCCTTCACTGGCCTGGTGTGGTTGTGATACGCCGAAACTGAGTCAAAGCTTCACAGGTTCAAAAACTTTTTAATGTTAAAAAAAACCCCAAAACTTAATGTTGTCTTTGTCCTTAGACTCGATGCAATTTCATGTAGTGAAGTCATTAACCAAGCTTCTAAGAAGAATTGGTATTTGAATGGTGTATTTACAGTGAGAAGTCTACCTCTCAAGTGGAGCAGAGTGTTCATGTTGCATGGTGACCTGTCTTCCTTCTGCACAGGGAAGCCACAGAGTAAATGGCTTTATAACTGGAAGATTGTCTTTGAACTAGTGTGTGGGATTGGAGTAAGATATGAACTGGTTGGTCTTATTAGCTAGTGTTATTGGCAGTGTGTAGTCTGTACTTGAAGAGATTGGGATCTTGGCTTCCCTACGTGTTGCTCTGAGTCCTCTTACTTCATACTGATTTTTTTTTTAAGATTTATTTATTTGACGCAGAAAGAGAGCACAATAGAGCAGAGGGAGAGGAGAAGCAGACTCCCCACTGAGCAGGGAGCCGGATGTGGGGCTGGATTCCAGGACTGTGGGATCATGACCTGAGCTGAAGGCAGACACTTAACTGAGCCACCCAGTGCCCCTGATCCTTTTCCTTTTAACAGGACAGTTGCTGTGGTTGGAATACCAATGGTTTGGGTCTCCTCAGGCACCCACTTAGGACAGCCAGTTAGTGTACACTCCAATCTTTTAGGGGGCAGCTTTCTCCAGACCATGGGTACCATCACCATACTGTTAATGCCTGAGAAATAAACTTGCTATTTTCAGACAAACTTTTACCTTGTTTTTTATATTTAAGCTAGCAAAATCTGGCTCCTCCCTTTTTCTTTTATTATTAGTAAAATATACATAAAATGCACCATCTTAAACGGTTTTTAAGTGTACAATTTTGTGGCATTCATTATGTTTACCTTGTGTTGCAACTGGTAAAGTCAATTGGTGAAATTTGTCAGAGGATCAGGTCCAGGAAATGAAAGAGGGCAAACATGAATTTAGTCGGTATATTGTGGAGAAACCAAATTTAGTGCCAGAAATTTCAGTTCTAGGCCTACACTGCACCATGGCAATGACAAACTTACTTAAATTCTTCCCTTTTTGGTCTGTGACAGGAGAGTAGTAACAGTGCTGCCTATTACAAGAATGCTGTGAGAACCAAATGCAGCAGTGTCCGTGGGACCCTGAACACCAAACACCAGGGCACAGTACTTGGTGAGGAGCTTGTTTTCAGAACAATTGTCAGACATTTTTCCAATATGAGAAGGGAGGATGGGGTGCAAGTTCTAAGGGAAACTCCTTTCTGTCTCTGGCATTCTTAATTCACACAACCTTATGGGTAAACCCTCCCCCATGACCACAGGTGAAAATGAAATGAACCGTTTTCCTTGTCTTTATTTTTGAAATCTATTTTAAAAAGTAATGACATCCATTGAGTAAGTTTTGGAAAATACCAAAAAGCATAAAGAAGGAAAATAAAATTATATTAACAGATAACCATTTAGACTGTTTTGGTGTATCTCCTTTTAATCTTTTTCT